TTGAGTTTTCTTCCTCTCCTCTGGCAGCAGTCCAGAGAGAGGGGGGGGGGGCTTCACACTAAGGGGAGAAACATTAGAGGCCAAAGAGAGTTCATGTCCTTTTTACCTCATATGAAAGGGTGTCTTATCCCATAACAGCTGTGGAACATGTTGAGGCATGTTCAGCCTTGTACATTATAGGACATGCGCAGTTATTCACAAATTAGGTATAGAGGAGGAGTTTGTTTTTTTGGGTTTAGGATCCAGTTTTTTTTAGCATAAAGAGACTGGTTTTTTGAGAGAGCGCGAGAGAGGGGGGGGTGACCCCTGGTAGACTCTCTCCGGGTAGGCTGTGTGCTTCAGAGCTGGGTTAATAGCTCTCGGTAAGGTCCTTCTAGACGGGGTAAATATCTCTCGAATTTATTGGTTGTTGGCTGAGTGGAATGATTTGATGAGAGATGTGTGTATGAACCTTTATAAATACCGCGACCTGTGGGGAAAATCTGGTCCCCCGAAATTTGCGGACAGGAATGGGTTTTTGAGTGTTAATCCGCCGTCTGTGTCGGAAAAAGTGTATGAACCTTTATAAATACCGCGACCTGTGGGGAAATCTGGTCCCCCGAATTTTGCGGACAGGTATGGGTTTTTGAGTGTTAATCCGCCGTCTGTGTCGGAAAAAACGGTATGAAACTGATGTGAATAAATGGGTGAATGGAAAGTTGAATGCGCTTTTTATTGTCACCGGTCTTTTTACGAGGAAATACCTCTAAATTCTATCGGGAGAATTTTAAAATGTCACAACTGAAATGGGCAGTTGAAATTAAAACATTTTGGTAATAAATGTAAGACTGTGAATTAAAGTTTCATTTGAACATGATCACAGCACGGTTTTTTTGTTAGTATGATTATAATGTTGTGAGAGAGAAGGTAAAAACCCTGTATTAGTTTGGACCTATTTTTCTTCAAATAAACTGAATCCCACCTGTTGGATTGGGATCCTTTAAAAGACACCTGTGCTCTCCTCTCCTGCGTCAAAGGTAAGATTGCACCCTGCCACACACACTTAGGTAGGAGCACACTCCATTTACTGATATCAAAATCCTTCGGGATCGCTTAAAACAGATTAAAAAAGAGTTGTCTGAATTGAAACAGCAGTTAATTGAACCTGGTTCTTCGGGGGGGTTAGGAAGAGGTGAGATCTTGCTGACGTTGGTGGATCTGAGCCAAGCAGCAAACTTACATAGACTCAATAATCTTCGGAAAGGTCAATTAGGAGGTCAGAGTAATTTACCGGAATAAATTATCAGGACCTCTCAAAACTCTAAACAGTAGTTTGTTTAGTATATGGCCATGTACAGGCCCGGTTCCAGAACAAAATGACTCAGGGTGCCTCTGAGGTTACAGGGGGCGCAGCAGTAGGTTTACATGAGTAATAGTGGCCGGCAACAGCAATGAAAAATAGCATTGATGGTCCCCAATGAACAGATTATGGCATTTGTTATGTTTTGAAACCAAGCAAGTGAGAACATTTCAAGTGAGTTAAAAGTGCAATCCTGAAATATTTCATATAGTCCAAAGTGGACTGTGGCAAAGAAAAGCACAAAAGCTTCAAAACTCTACTTATAAAACAAATAAGAATATATTGTAAATCAAGGCAAATATGATTTGAACCAGCTCATGGTTTGAAATGGCAAACATTGAAAAGCAAAAGTATTATTAAAACCATGTACCAAATCATCACTTTGGTCCCATCATATACTCTGGGAAGAGAATATTTACTGTGCTTGAAAACTGGTATCACATCATCATGTGAGGTTGACTTTGTGACCTGGAGAACATTTCAGCTGCAACATTAGCTTGTTGATAAGCTTGGAATATGAGATCTTTTTGTAGCCATTCGTGGTGAAGGCATCTGTGCTATTGTATGCATTATGTTTGACCCAACATTTCTACAGGCATGGCAGAATATGGCACTATTTTCACATGAATATTCCATTGTCTATTTGTATACCACGAGCTGCAAAATGGCCGCCTAACCCCACTGTACATGCGGGTAGTTCTCAGAGTTTTGCACAATCAGTACTGTTTTAAGCTGTACTATCTCAACACATTTTAATAGATTGAGTTTTTTTAAATATGGGAGTTGTGTGTTCATATTTACCAACACCACAGACTATTCGTAATACTTTTTTTTGGGATGTTATTATTTTTTGTAGATTGTTGAGTACGTGTTTCCCCATATTAGTTTCTAAGGGAGAAATAGACTGTTATAAAGAGTATATTTTCTTCAAGAATGTTCTTAGTATGATACAAAATACCTGTTTTTGACAGTTTAGTCTGTACATAATTTATATGGTGCTTCCAATTGAGTTTTTCGTCAACAAGCAGTCCTAAAAATGTACATGCACCAACTTTTTCTATCTCTGTATTGCAAATCCGTATAATGCAGTCATTTCTACTCTCAGACTTTGTATTGAATAACATGTAATTTGTTTTGGCCACATTAAGGGATCATTTATTAACTGCAAAGCAGTTACATAGTATTTTTAATTCTGCATTCACAATTTTAACAAGATCGCCAAGATTATGATGGGAGCAGAGAAATTCAAAGTTCAGGTTCAGCCTTAATATATTTGGGGAGAATTAAAATGAGCCGTCTTCATTTGTAGACAGCCAAGCCCCCTCCTGTGTTCGCAGTGGCGTTTTTATATGTACAAAAGTGGTGGGCCACAAAAAACGTAGATGTCTATATATAAGCTTCTGCAGTGAGGTTCATGGCTGGTGAGGCACTGGCACTGACTCTTCAGGTTTACAAATATTATATTTTGACGTAAATCAAAAAAGAATAATATTATTTTCAAAAGCTTTTTTTGTCTGATGCTTCGATTAATTTTAAACAGACAGTTCAACAAAAGGATACCCAAAAAATGTAATTTTATCATTTGAATTGTTCTCTCTTAGTAAGATCCCATTTTCAATAAAATTGCGGTCTTACCTTGACTTGAAGATGAAGTCCATTTGCCTATCCTTCTGGACAAAAATCTCTATTACTTTTTTGTAAAAGTCCTCCTTATCTTCTTGTAGTTTCAAAAGTCTATCATAAATCTAATCCATAGATTTATGATTAGAAAATTATAAAAGTAGGGTAGACATGTGGATACTACGTTTCCCACAGATCTTATTTCAAGCTATTTTCTAAAATCCTATGGAGAAATATCATTGCTTTTTTGTGGAGGGAACCCATGCGCAGCTTACTTCCTGGTTTTAGGACGCGTCTCTCTCCTCCTCTTCACACACCACACTTTTCGCGGCACACGTACTTACAGCCAATCAGCTCTGAATTATGTGAGATGACGTATGGTGGGGATGGCAGCTTTATGCCCCTAGGGTCATACTTTTTTTTGCCACACACATTAAATAGGACAATACTCTGAGCATGCGCAGTGTAGTTTTTATGGTCACCGTTCACTTAGACAGTGAGAGGGAGGGGCATGATCGGGTTTTGTCCCCACATGGCTCTAAACAGCTCAATAGGCACACACTGTAGACACTAATTAGAAGAACACAGACTAAAACAGCAATGTACAGACGAATCAGATGATTAACCATGATCTTAAAATATATTTTATATATTTTGTTATTTATTTTTTGCATTTTTTTGTAATCATTATTTGTAATACTTTCTGCTGACACTAGGTGGGGCTGTGCCAAAAATTATAAAAGTAGGGTAGACATGTGGATATTATCCGACTGAACAAAACGTGCATTTATCTAACAGGTTCGTTTTCCACTGACCTTATTTCGAGCTATTTTCCAAAACCTTGTGGAGAAATCCCATTGCTTTTTTGTAGAGGGAAACCGAGCGCAGCTTACCTCCGGGTTTGAGGACTGCAATCACTAAGTTGATGCGATTTGATTGGATTGTGAGGCAAGGGAAGCCAGCTGCCTCTGGCTTCCCTTGGCATGGCCCTGACCAATCACAGGTTGGCAGGGGCATGACGTGAGCCTTGTCTGATTGGTCAATCCCTCAATTTTTTTCACCAAGGGAAGCCAATTTCGGCTGGCCTCCTCTCGCAACAGAGAGTGCAATCTACTGTTTCACCATAACATCTAGAGGGGCGCTGTTTCACTCTTTTTAAAATACTCAATGAGAATGGGGGAGAGACGGGCCGGCAGCAACACACAACTAAACGAAGTGTTTTTATTTATTTATTAACATTATAACTACATTCCGAAAAAACAGGGGAAGCCTGGCTTCCCTTGGCCTCCAGGATAAAACGCCACTGCTCTTAATTTTGCTCTCAAAGTGCACCAGATTGATGCTTTTAACTTCAATGTTTAAAAAAAAATCTTCCCGGGAGAGCAAGCCCCCGGACCCACCTAGAGGAGGTGAGGACCCCCTTAGAGGAGGTGAGGACTCCCCTAGAGGAGGTTAGGTCCACGGTGTTTACATGCTTATTTATACAATATGTGTGCTTATGCTAACATCATAAGACAAAAGTTGGTTTGTAGTGAGAACGCGCTAGAGTGAGGGGGGCCCCCAAGCCAAAGCTCGCTTAGGGCCCCCAAAAGTCTAGGGCCTCTGTGGCGACAAATTGTTATGTAACTGTTTCTTTTCAATTGTATTGCTTTTCATATAGTCACCTGATTCACAGATAATATATCAGAGCTTTACTTGATGTTACAGGTAGCTGAAGAAACAGGGAGTTCTGTTCAGAAAAGCTTTGTCTCTTATTTTTGAATTGCATCGATTAAACCGTTATAGCAGTCGATTCATTATTTTGGAGAGAAAATAGTGGACTTTACCAGAATATTAGGCTGGGATTTTTTTTATCTCATCGTTTATTTGAATTTGGTCAGCGATGTAACTTACCCCTCTTCTTTGTCATTACACATTTCCAGACAGCAACATTTTAAACCGAGTTGTTTGAAGTACTTTCATTTACTGACGGTGGGGGCGCTGCATAACTGCGTAGCCTGCATTAAACAAACAAAAGAAGACGACATTATTTTTATCAACAAACCTCCGCAGTCCAGACTTGTACCGGAGCCGGAGGAGTAATGAGGTATCTAGAGATGTGAGTCCAGCGGGCTGCTTGTGTTTCTGTTCCTCACAGGACATCATATGACCCGCAGATCCCGTGTGAACGCTCTACGTTAGTCAGTGGACGTCCGACAAGAAGCCCAATCATTTATAATGATTGGTTTAAATTGGTTATTATGATTGGTTATTGGTTTAAACTGCGTGAATAAAATAGCTAGAGAGCTAAAGTACATTTCGTTCATCCAAAGGCACACGGATAACCTTGTGCTTTTAAGGCTTATGTAACAAACTGTATATATATATATATAAAGGATTTTGTAGTATCAATCGGCGAGATGCGACCAGCAGCGTGCAGAAGCTCTTCATGCCGAGCACATGGCAACTGTAATGGCGGGATGAGCACATGGTGAGTGTTGGGTTGGGGGATGCAGTGCAATGGTGTGCAATGAGAACCAAAAGGCTGCAATGATGATCAACTAGACTAGAGTCTCTGATAAATCATGAAGATATCTTCACAGTGCTCTGAGTATGCCCAATATGAACTGTAAACAAAGTGCAAACATTAGAACATGTTGTAATACTTTTCTCTAATCTCATCACCAGGTTTCTCAAGATGTTGGAGACTCTCTCTTAGGTAAGTGTGCTATTAAATCATGTTTCCTTTAAGCTTCTGCTATGTGGGATGATGATTTCATAGACTAGAGTCTCTGACAAAAGATGAAGATGTCTTCACAGTGCACTGACCACATAACCACACCAGTATGTTGAGCCCACCTACTGCTTATCATGTAGACTTGTTACTCTTTTTTTTTAAAGCATGGTTGTTGTTTAGTTTCCCTTATCTACACAACCACTGAGTTATTCCCAAATGACCATGAAGATAAATCTGAAGCGTAAGACATGTGTTTGATTTATTAAAGGCAGTTTCTTATGAATGCTGCCTTTTTTGAAGTGCTGTCACACTTAAGAAGCCTCAGGCTGTAATTTGTGTTGCATCATTTCAGTGCAACTTAAACAGTGGCAGGCATTCACTGGAAACCTGAGGTTTGCCTCAGCCAAATTACAAATATTTATATAACTTTTAGCCGTATAATTGTTTTTTATATGTTGAGATAATGAGTGCGTCTGTTTAGTGAACGCATTTCGTAGGGCCTTAAAAAAGTCGTAACTGGTGAAATTCCTCTACTGACCCGTTTGAGGTGTGATTGCAGTAGATGGGCTTAACATCATCAGGTGTGTTCTCTAAACGTCTCGTTGTTTTGCCATGTGCTGGTACTGATGTCCCGTTGCCTTGCAGCTCGTCCACACACTGATGGAAGGAGTTGCTGGGACATATCCGCATCTCAACCACAAACCTGGATGCTGACTCCAAGGCTGGAGCTCTACTGAGGGTGAGTGTAATAATGCAGTATTGTTGCTGGGCTTTATTAGAAAGGGTTACATCTGGGACTGCAGTGGCTCATCATAAATGGACCATGTGATCTTGGAATTGTATGACCTTGGCTTGATGGATCTAATGGGACTTGGAAGAGCTTTGGTCCGAGATGGTCTATGATGATTCAGTTTTTTGGTTCAACTGATGCAAACTGAAGTTTACTCGCAGCGCACTGAGACACTCGGACTGTTCAGCTTCTGTTGAGAATGTGTGGCAGCCATTGGTTACTGTGATGGAGGGAGAGCTGACTGCAACATGTGCTCTTTGTTCTTTAGATCTACAACGAGTCCCAGCGTGGAGTTTACTACGCCACATCTGCAACCACACAAACCTGGATGCTGACTCCAAGGCTGGAGTTCTAATGAGGGTGAGTGTAACAATGCTGGGCTTTATTAAAAAATGGTTGAATCTAGGACTGCACTGCCTCATCATAAATGGGCCAGTGCAGTAAATATGACTCTGGCATAATGGATCTAATGGGACTTGGAAGAGCTTTGGTCCGAGATGGTCTATGATGATTCAGTTTTTTGGTTCAACTGATGCAAAATGAAGTTTACTCGCAGCGCACTGAGACACTCGGACTGTTCAGCTCCTGTTGAGAATGTTTGGCAGCCAAACACAGGTCACTAACTGTTTCGCTCCGACAGGTGTGACTGAAGGATCTGGATCTGGAGGACGTGCAGACGCATGAAAAGCCGGGTGGAACAGTTCTACTGGGCTCTGCAGGGGCATGGAGTGAAACTCTGACTCTCCTGTCCTCCGTCTTGTTCTACAAGGCTATTCATCTCAACTGTTCACTACATTGACATGAATTTGTATTTGAAGAATTTTCAAATAAATGTTTGACAAAGAATGGACACTGCCTTTTTCACACAAATATTTATGAGACAAACTAAGCCCATATGGTGATGGCGAGATGAAGCCTTACGGCCCGTCCACACAGCGGCGTGCGTTGAAGCTTCAACGCTTCTTCCCATTCACTTCTAATGGGGTGACGTCACGCTTTGCCGAACTGCCTTGTGGTTCCGTCGCTTCGCTTTGCTCGCGTTGCTCGCTTCAAAAGTTGAGAAAAGTTAAACTTTTGAAGCTTCGACGAAAGCGTCAGCCAATCAAATCATATACCAGTACAAGCTCTAGCCAATCAAACTGCGTGCTTGTGTGTCCGGGGAGTGAGATTCATGTGATTGGTCGAGTTTCAGACACGCCCACCGGCAAGCTTCAATGCACAACGTGGTTTGATTGGCTAGAGCTTGTACTGGCATATGATTTGATTGGCTGACACTTTCGTCGAAGCTTCAAAAGTTGAACTTTTCTCAACTTTGGAGCGAAGTGACGGAACCACAATGCAGTTCGGCAAAGTGTGACGTCACCCCATTCAAAGTTAATGGGAAGAAGCGTTGAAGCTTTAAAGCACGCCGCCATGTGGATGGGCCGCAACACGGCGCAGACGGACCCGGTGGAATCCCGGGAGAATAACTCTAAACAACGAAAATCATATTTTCATGTTAACAATATTGTTTTTAATCTAGTTTAATGATTGTGATTGAAAAGCCTAAGGAGACTGGCAGGGGTGCCGCCAGGGATTTTGGGCCCCATGAAAAGATATCACATTGGGCCCCACCACTAGGCCCAGGCCACGCCAACCAAGCACAATGCTGTAACCACACCTCCAGAACCCAACCGACTCATTTATGCTTTAAATAACTCTACCTGTACAGGCTTGCATCTATCTTGTAGTCCAATACTAACTGCACAATATTTACTGACACTGAGCGTTGAACATATAACACTGCAGACGTGCAGTGGAATTCACTATTTTATATAACACTAACATTCCTGACAATAGATCTTAATAGTCATCTTTTATGGTGTACATGCCTTTTTAATAACATTTTTTGAATGGAGCATTCATAAATCAAAATAAATATAACTTAAATATACATGACCTCTTAAATAAAAATAAAGTGAACATTAACACCAATATTATCATTTATAAAATGCTATAACAAAAAAAATAACATAAGCAGCAGATTTTTTATTAAATATACATACCAACTACAAAATAAGCAGGTATTAAAGTGTAAACGGACAATAAAAAAAGAAATGGAAGTGAAAAGGCCTGATGGTGGTGCTAAATCAGAGCCTATTACCTGTTCTCAGTCTTTTTCTCTTCATGCATCTTGTGTGTAGTGATCCAATATCATTACCATAGCCTTGCCCTTTAACAGTTATTACAAGCCCTGGCTCAGCCTTACTCACCAAGAGCCCAGCGCCTAGCCTTCTTACAGGCAAAGTCACTGATCAAGTCCTTGAAGTCCAGCTTTCTAGCCAACTGGCTTTCAATGGACAGCATGGCAAGACTGCAAAGCCTTATGGGGGGACAGGGCTGCTGAGCCTAGAGATGGATCTGTTGGTCCTGGCACCAGGGGAGGGACAACCAGTGGTGTAGTGGGCGTTGGATGCGGGGGTACGCCGTACCCCCACTTATTTGAACTAGCATGATTTTTTTAATAGTCTAATAAATATAAAATCATTGCCACTGTTATCAGTTGCAAGTGTGTAGGCTATTTGTTGTAATAATGACGAAAACATAATAGGCAGATTTCACAGTAATTATAATAAAAACGTAGCTCAAGCATTTATGCAACTTGATTTGAAGCGTGTGTGTGTGTGTGTGGCTGGTGTGTGAGGGGCAGCACCATGTGCGTGTAGGGTGACCAGGTGTCCCGCTTTGTGCGGGACTGCACACACAGCATTTTTATTATTTGTCCCGCATCCCACAAATTGAGACCATGTCCCGCATTTGAGTGACAGTCGGCAAAGAAAGGCCGGATCGGTTAGCTGACGGCCGGCACCGCCCTTTATTATTATATTGTCTAAACGGCATCATGCAAGTTGCGCTGACAGGCGACACAGAGGTCCACAGTGTACCCCCCCGTTGACAGTTCACGAGCGCGTCCATAGTGTCTCCCGTCCAACCCGCCCCGTCCACCCAGTAAAAAATTCCCCACTACACCACTGGGGACAACTGATTTAGTATGAATAGCTGCTAATAATGTACCTGCTAACCCAGCTAAAAGAGGAGTGAAATGAAAAACCTTTTCTGTGAAGATATTAACAGTACTTAAAGGTGGGTGGGGTAGGTAATTTTGGAGAAACCAGCTCGAGTGCGCTGGAATTTGAAAATACACAACCGGAAAAAATCTGCCACTTCCTTACAGAGCCCCTCCTCCAACACACACGAACCGACCAATGAGGGCACCAGATAAGTTTGTGCACAGATGGAAGGCTGACAGGCAGGGAGGCCATCCAGTTATTTTAGCCGGGCCGGCTAAAATGATTGGTCGTGCTTTTTACAGCGCCACGGTTTCCACAGATGAATTTTTAATGGATTTTTTGTTAAAGCACTTAAGATATTCATTGCTATCGGGATGTTAAGAGCATTCCATGGAATATAACAAAAAGTGTATCTCGAGCCGGTTTCTCAAACTTACCTACCCCACCTTTAATGTCAGCAAAACATTACAATTATTATTTACAATGGACTACGCTTAGCTAACAGACTAATTTCCACCACTCATGGACCACACCCACCTTTTCTTTTGAACAACTGGGTGACATACTGTCGCCCTTCAGTCCCTCTTTCTTGTCTTTCTCTCCTTTCTTTTCTTTCTTGAAAGCCTGACTTTGTTAGTCGTTGAGACATCGTACACTACACTACTACTACACTACTTTTAACTTCAATATTAAAAAAAAAAAATCTTCCCGGGGGAGCATGCCCCCGGACCCCCCGAGACAAGGTTAGGTCCACCCCCCATATAAAATCATGTTCAAATGGATAGGATACTAAATACTAGGGCCGGGACTTTAACGCGTTAATTAAGATTAATTAATTACACAAAAATTAACGCGTTAAAAAAATTAACGCATTTTAATCGCACTTATTTTTGCACCGCGGAACGTTTCTCACTGGATGAGTTTCAGGCGTACCGATTATACTGGAGCACCAACTAACGTTCATGACTTCAGACAACAAACCACAGTGAACAACAGTGGGACATGTTGTTTTAAAAAACGGACGGATGGAAGCGTCGATAAGAGCACGGTTGTGTGCAAATTATGCAAAAAGGAATTCGCATATCACCGCAGCACATCAAGCCTCAAGTATCACCTCAATGCAAAACATATAGCAGCTAGCGTGGACGTTAGCCTCTTTTATCGCGTTCACACCAAAAAGAGCTGGTACTAAAATTAGTTCATGAGAACCTTTTTACCCCCCACGAAAGTCCCTGCTAGAGAGCAGAGAGCTGCTAGAGAGCAGGGACTTTCGTACGGCTCTCTTGTGAGAAAAGAGCTATATTTCTGATTGGCTGGGCGGATTGCAAACCACGCCCCGTAAAACTCCCAAAAAGTTTTGTGAATTTTATTATCCTCGCATTAGCATTAGCCCAGCGCAGAAACGCAGAGAGACTAATTTATGGCAACACAAAATAAAACATGGGAGTGGTGGAGATGAGGAGGTGTCGGCGTTCTGGCGATTTACTCGGAAGGCTGCAGGGACTCCCAGCAGCTTCTACTGAAGCCAGTCCCCAACTCCGGGGACTTTGGGCGGCAGTATACGCCGTGAAGTGGTTTGCGGCCTGCCAGTAAACCCAAAGCAGAAGAAGAATAAGTGACGTCAGTGGCTTCATTTGCCTAATCCACCCCCAGGTTCAAAGAGTTCTCATGAACTAAGTTCTCATGAACCTTTGTGGGAAAAGTACTGCGGTGTGAATGCGCCTAATGGCATGTGATTAAAAATGCGATTAATTTCGATTAATTAATTACAAAGCCTCTAATTAATTAGATTAATTTTTTTAATCGAGTCCCGGCCCTACTAAATACATTTGCACACATCTTGTGTCCATATTTTTCTGTTTTGGTGGTCATTCCACAAGGGTGTGCGGGGGGGGGGGGGGGCCGCCAGCAAAAATCTTGCCTAGGGCAGCAAATTGGTCAGAGCCGGCCCTGTCGGCGGCACTCGATGACGAAGTATGCTTGAAATAGTGGCTCTGGAGCAGCTTTACTAGACTATTGAGAAACACCCACTGTCTCCGTCCCGTCTCAGTAGCCTACTCCAGACTACCGCTGCTGTGTACGTGTCGCCCGGTTGCTCTGTCCAGACTGTATGTAACCGCCAACCGGAACACGTCGGTTTGTTGACGGCTCGGTGTCCAGCGGTCAGGAGCTCGCTCGGTGATTCGACTTCTGATGCTAGCGGGGAGGCTAGCTGACGGTCTGACACGAACTCAAGCTAACGTCACTGAAGGTGAGCGACTATCTATTATCATGCTGGCTAACGTTAAACGATAAAAAAAACACTAAAATGGTTTACTGAAAAGAGTTAGTAAGCGTTAAACTAGCTGTCATACGCTGCTAACCAGTGTTATTGTTCTAGTAAACCCTGCAGGTTAGCTAAGACTAAACTAAGACACAGTGTAACATTAGCTAAACCGCATTGATGTGGAATTGGAAGTAGTTGTTGTAACTAGTACACTTACCCAAGTACATTTACCCAAGTACTGTACTTAAGTACAATTCTGAGGGACATGTACTTTACTTGAGTATTTTACTTGTTTGCTACTTTGTTCTTTACCACTACAAATTAAATTAATAGTGTACTTTTATTCCACTACATGTATTTAATCCCTTTAGTTACTTTACAGATGTGGATGAATGATGTGAAATATAACCAAGTGTTGAATCAGACTGTAGTTCCACCTGGAGTAAATCCACCAGCTACCCTGCAGTATACAAAGTCATTCAAACTAGCTGCACCTTTACCAGCTTTGAGAACACTTTCATGATCAATCATTATAAAACATATCATATATATTATTCTGAAATGGACCAATCTGCACAGTGACTACTTTTACTGTCGCTACTTTCACTATATTTTGATGCTAATACTTTAGTACTTTTAATGAATTACATGATCTGAGAACTTCTTCCCCCTCTGCATGTACCCCATGCATAAACCAACTGTATGTCTTTTTGTTTTTTTGCAGATCTAAGGAGAGACTCAATGTGTTTTCGGAGTCTCTGAGAAGTTTGTCTAGCAACATTGTTAACATTCTGGAACTGAACCTAAACTCTGATCTCAACCTACTCACGTGTACTAGCCGGTGCTAACTTGCTCATAAGCACATTTGAAGGTAATGCAACCTTGGCAGCTCCAAATGTTGCCAGGTTGAACCAAAGACATGTAGAGGAGAAGCCTGACTTCTAAATGGCAGGAGGGGTCACCCGTGGTATTCAGCTGCACTGCCCCAGCACACCCACAGGTGTGTCTGTGGCCTGAGGACATATTTGAACAAGTATTACAACTTCAGCACTGGCAGTTCATGCATGCTTTCCCAATAAGGGAGTCAGATTAGCTGAGAGTCTCTGCATCTTAATTCAACTCCAACAAGCTCTGTGAGAAAGCATGACAGCTGTGGTGAGCAGAGCGTGGGGGTGGGTGCGCTCCTGGGGGGGCAAGAGTGCTGTGTCAGAGAATAACACAGAAGTGAGAGGGGGCCAGGAGCAAGGAGTCAGCAAACAGGGCCAGAGGGGCTGGACCTCCTGGATCTGGGGAGGGTGGAGGAGTGAGAAAAGCAGTCCGGTGGAGGAGTTCTGGGAGGCGCAGGAGAAGCTTCAGCCAAGAGAAGTTGAAGTCCTCAGTGCCAGGCAACAGGTGACCAATCCAGAGTCTAGATGGTGGAATAAGTATCTCCCAACTTCTTACATTTCATGGCCAGAAAAAAGTGAGCCAAGCAGACTGAGACAGAGGAAACGGGATGGAGGTACGAGTGACGGTGACGGGGAGGGGGACTTCTCCGACTACGGGACGCCTCCTCCCTCTCCCACACCCCCTTCCTCATCTCCTTTTCGACTCTTTGCTAACAGCTGGAAGGTGGACATCCTCCCAGAGCACTACGACATCTGCTTCAACTTCCTGCGCCACCTGTTCGATCTGTTTGTGGTGGGCTTCCTGTGGACGGTGTCCCCCCCCCACCAAGCTGATCCTGGAGGTGTTCGGGGTGCAGGGGGCTCTGAGGCTGTGGCTGCACGGCATGGCCATGTTTTTCGTGTCTTCGGTGGGAATGGCAGGGCTACTCTGGCTGATCCAGGAGTACCTCCCTCAGTTCGCCCTGATCTACGGCATCATCCAGGCGCTGGTGATCTCCGTCAGCGTGCGACAGAGCGTGATACTCGGCGGGGAGGAAGAAGAAGAAAAAGAAGAAGAAGTTGAGGAGGAGGAGGACAAGGAGACGGAGGAAAAGAAAGACAGTTTGGAATGTGAAGGAAAGCTTGTGTCTGTAAAAGACAAAGTGAAGACAAGTTAGATTTGAGGTAAGGCCCACCATTCCTCATGTCTATGTTACACTTCACCACATCACAAGTGTTTCCTTTTCTCTGATGCTTTGCGTGACATTCCACAAATGATGAACCTCTTAATAACCACCAACCGCTGAAGCTGTAGCATTGTCACTGCAGGTAGTTTAGCTCAGGTCAGTTTCCAAGTCTACATTGACTCCAAATCATCCTTCTTTAGTGAGGCCAGGTCTGGAGGCTCTCACTCCAGTTGGGTGGACCTCACCCCTCCTGGCTTCATAGAATCAGAACACCTTGATTCGTTGATGCTGATCATAGTGACCGAAATTCATAAATCAATATTTTTTTGTTGTACGTTTTTATGAAATCCCTGTACTTTGTTTTGTGAGAGTATTTCCTCTATACGGGACCTTAATGAAAATGGATTTTGGAACAATTATAATATACTCATAATGGTTTATTAGAGTGCAATATTTAGGTACTTGTACTTTAGTTTCCTTCAATTCTTTGCCTCTACTTCACTTAATTGAAAATATTAATTTAATATTTAACGAAGTAAGTGTTAATTTGACAGCTACACTTATGGCGCGTTTCCACTGTAGGCCTCGCTCGGCCTCGCTCGGTTTGGTTAGGCCTTATTAGGCCCAGCTCACTTTAATGCTGCGTTTCCATTACAGTTTAGGAACTGGGGCAGTTACTATAGTAACGCAGTGTAGGCGGAGCCGTGACGTCATCTTCAATGAGAGCCCCAGAAAAACAACACAGCCGTTAGCTCTTAGCACTCAGAGCTCACAGCTCTTCATATCTGTTCAGAAACTTGACAAAAGTTAAACAAGTACAAACCACAGACTGCCTGTGTCATGGCGAATACAGTCGCTGGTTTATTTATGTCTGTATAGGTCGTTGTTGTGAGTGTGGACGGTCGGAGCATATATAACGTTAGCTTAGCCAAGCTACATTTAGAAAACACGCATTTTAAAGGGATTTTTCGCCTGCCGTCTGTCTGCAGACTTGTCAAAGCATTAATTCATGGTTTTTACTAACCGGTATCAGTATGTTGTTACTTCGGCATCATTTTGAAACGTGTATTACAATTAATTCACGGTCAAATATGTTCATCTTGTTGTAGTTGTAGCCCCTTTGCCAGCGATTCTCTCTCTAGTTTAGCATACTCAGCCCGACTCAGCCTGGTTGTTTCTGGCCCTAGAACCACGATTTAGTCGGGTCAGAAAAAAGGTGAAAAAGTAGCTCCGGGCCAAAACTAGGCCAAGTGGAAACGCAACCAAAAACGGGCCCGCACGGCTCGGCACGCTTAAAGCGAGCTACCCACTGCAGTGGAAACGCGCCATTAGAGAACGGCCGAGGATTAGTGAACAATTTTGTTCTAAGAATTCTGAGATTGAAGTCAAAATTCTGACTTTTTTCTGGCCCTCATCCTCTTCCATATTAAAACAAAAGAACAACATTTATTTGTTCTATTCTTTTCTAACTGCCAGGGATATTCTAATTATCATGTTTCTTTAAACTCTTACATACCAAAATCAGTGTTTGGCCTTAAAAATCCAGAATCAGTCAGGGGTTATAGCATTAACTGGTAACTTTACAGACACAAGATAAAAAACATCTCAAATGCCCCTTTCACACCAACGCGTTTCCTGCTCCGGCTCCGGCTCGGAGCTGGAGCCTGAAAAGTACAGTTTTTTCCTGTTCACACCGCAGAGGCGCCGCCTCTTAGCTCCGGAATCCGGTTCACTTCCAGCTCCAAAAAATTGTCGGTCTAGAGGCAAGAGCTTCGGAGCTAAGAGGCGGCGTCGCTTACGTCTCTCTTACGTCGAGGCGGGGGCAGGGGTAGATGCTGAAGTAGATGCTGAAGACCACAAAGAAGTCTTGCATTTCGCATGTGATGTTTGTAAAGTTCCAAAAGTCGTCCCTTGTAAAGTCGTCCGATGCCTTCCATTTCGTTTCGTAAGAGGATAACCAAAGCGAACAGCGCTTCAATACAATCGGCCATTGTTGTTGTTGTTGTCGATGTGAGGGATTTCCGCGCGGTTTGGATTTTATGAAGCAGGCACGTAAACGGTGACGTCATGACGCAGCAGCGGCAGCTCTGGGCGGTGTGAACAGAGCGGGAGCAGAAAAGGGAAACTGGAGCTGAACCAGAAAAGCTCCCGCTCGGAGCTAGAAAGGGAAAAGCGCTGGTGTGAAAGCCGCATAAGTGGTTAACCAATCACAACAGAGCCAGCCAGCTAACCAATCAGAGCAGACTGGGCTCTGGTTTCAGACAGAGGGTGAAAAGAGGTTCTGCAGCACAGGCAGTATGAGAAGAATAAAGATCTTTTTGAACATTAAAGCATGGAGACATGTCAAGGTAGAGACACTACATACTGATATACACCTGAACATCAGCAGGAGAGGACTCTTTAAAGTAGAGACACTACATACTGATATACACCTGAACATCAGCAGGAGAGGACTCTTTAAAGTAGAGACACTACATACTGATATACACCTGAACATCAGCAGGAGAGGACTCTTTAAAGTAGAGACACTACATACTGATATACACCTGAACATCAGCAGGAGAGGACTCTTTAAAGTAGAGACACTACATACTGATATACACCTGAACATCAGCAGGAGAGGACTCTTTAAAGTAGAGACACTACATACTGATATACACCTGAACATCAGCAGGAGAGGACTCTTTAAAGTAGAGACACTACATACTGATATACACCTGAACATCAGCAGGAGAGGACTCTTTAAAGTAGAGACACTACATACTGATATACACCTGAACATCAGCAGGAGAGGACTCTTTAAAGTAGAGACACTACATACTGATATACACCTGAACATCAGCAGGAGAGGACTCTTTAAAGTAGAGACACTACATACTGATATACACCTGGACATCAGAATAATATGTCCTCTTTAAGTAATTGTTGGGGTAAAATCTATTGGTACAGTCTGCTTATCAGAGTGATGAGAGTTCATGTTTGACTTATGTTGATTTGATCATAGTGCAGGGTTTGCCCTTTTCTCTTAAATTCAATGTCACTGCTCTGTAAACACTTGTGAGCTGTTATTCAGAGAGCTGTGTTTCCTCCACAGGCTAAGGAGCTGCTGTGTGTCAGCTGATGAGGACCTCCAGCTGGACCACACACACACACACACACACACACACACTGCTGCCCGGCTTAATAACTGTATTGCACCTTCATTACACTCCTGCCAGTTCTGCTCATATCACTTTGTTTAACACTAATGAACTGTGTGTATGGATGTCTGTCCTCACTTGATCTTAATGCTGTCACCACAATATGGACATTACAAGGTTGAGTAACCACTACTACAACGCCATGAATGTTGAAGCAGCATGTAGGGTCAAGAAGAGAAAGCATATTGAGGAAGTGTTGCAATTCATTTAGCTAACATTTCATTTCCTGACTTGGGGGACTATGTTGTTTTCTGATTCACCCTGAGAGAGTTAGGGACCAGGTTATTGCCTTTGGTGAATTTTGAGGGAATCGACAAAACCAACACAGCCGGAATGCCTCGGAGAGAAGGAAAGAAATGTGAATCACGGTTTTTAGTACGACAGATATAAAACTCTTCAGCTTCTAAGAGGTAAACATTCAAAGTTATCCATATTAAGTGAATTTGGAATCATAAAGGTATATCCAGTCGAAGTGCACTTCAAACACTACCTGCTAAATATCATCCCATCTTTAATTGAAGCACAGAAAATAAGCATGGGTTTCTGTCCCATCTCCAGCTGGCTCCAACTAACTACCACTAGAAAACATGGCACAAAGTTGAAAGCAGGTATGAGATTGATTTGATTGTTTGTACAGAAATCCTACTACCGGACTACAAACCGCAATATTGCTTATCAGTCTGTGATTAAGATGCATCTATTTATGAACCAACCCATCAGACCTGTGACATCACATCCCTGTTTTTGGGGCGGGTTTATTCAACAGAAGGCTAACATCCAAATATGGAGACGTTCTGAGGAAGCAGTAACTACACCGTATCCAAGCCATGAGAAATGTTGTCTCTTAAAAATAAAATATATATATTTTCACACCGAAGACTAAATGAATGGAATGCGATGGGAGTCTTTTTTTGAGGAACGAGCATCTAACAGCCATAGAGGAACACTCAGCTGTGAGTGCTTCTCTCTACATATCAGTAGTGAACCCGGAAAGAGTAACCAAACGTTTTATGTTAGAAATGTAAAGTAGGGATATAAAGTAGGCACATAGAAACTGCCGGAAGCTAATCTGCATATGTTGGGCAATTTGCACAGTTAGCATAAGTTGCATTAATTAGCATTATAGCCTATAATTTGATGAATCCAGTTTTGGAGTGGTTTTGGGGGTTATTGAGGATGTTGAATCAATTCCTGACATTTTCAGGTTCCATAATGGCAGTTTTAACCAGAAAGTGGCCATACTTGTACTCCCGGTGGGCTGATCTTCATTCATTTTGGGTCGATTTGAACCTTTTAGGGGACTCAAAACTTCCATTTGTTATCCTTAACATTTCAGAAATGGATTACATATTCAATATACCTTAACAAATGCAGAAATCAGCCAAGCTATTTAACAGATATTGTCTGCATATGCTAATGAATTCTACTTATGCTAATTGTGCAAATGACCCAACATATGTGAGTTAGCCTCCTGCAGTTTCTATCTGCTACTATATTTTTCTACTATACATTTCATAAAACGTACGGGTTCACAGTGCTGGAGAGTAGACTTTATAAACGTGTTTTGTACTTGATCTATGTTCATAAGAGCTGATGGAAGACAAGAGACATTTGTTGAAGACTTGACCGTACAGTGCATGATGTACTTGACATTGAGAAAAGACTCAATCTGCTCCTTGCTCGTTCCATGAATCAGACATGTGACACATAACACCAGCAGCACGCATCCATGTGTCATGATAGTTTGTTGCCTTTGGTTCTTATCTGTGCCATGATGTTTGTTTCAAACTTGACTCATTCCTATGTGATTTCTGGACTTTAATTGATGTCATGCTTTAGAGTTAAAGGTACAACAGTGCACAATAGCATGTGACTTGTATTACACATTCTCTCTCACAGCATGTGTGTATCATTTGTTATCCAGAAAGCACCGTTTGTATCAGATGGAAGCGTTTGTACACTTATATACAATACAAGTGTAAAAATCTCATTGTATTACAAAGCAGAAGCACTCCCAACAATACAAAGTGATTTCCAGTGTGTCCCTAAGCATAACACCGCATTACAGTGAACATTACATGCTCCCCTTTTAGTTTTGGAAAGGCAATGTGCAACCTAGAGGCTGGAAGGAAATGAGAATCCTGACCCTTTGAAACAATCGCTCAACAGAATATATATTTGCAAATATTTTTGATATTATTGTTTGAGACTTTTTCAGAAACTAGAGGTGGAGAAATCAATAATGAGAATACTAGTTGCTGCCCTTTATTCAATAGAATGATATTGTTAATTAATGAATGAATTCATATCAAATGTCTTTCACTAAGAAACTAAAAATAGGCGTTCCAAAAGCCTGTTGACAGTTAACTTTGCACATTATCTGCAACAATGAAATAAAAGCATCCATTTCACTTCCTTTTGATTGGAATGATGGTTGTGTTGTGCCAAGGAGAGTACTCAGAAGATCATTAGGACCCTTTTTATTTTTTTTATTTGCTCGGATCTCAAAAATAGTTTCACATGTGGCCCTAATGCCTTTTCAGTATTTTACAAACAAAACAATAGGATTTCAAAATTGTATTTTGCTAAATGAAATTTGACCCATGTGTACATCTGTGTTGCCTTTAATTCATCACATATTGCAGTAATATGGTGAGGAAAGCTATTTAGATAAGAGCAGCGGACACACTGACTGCTGGACCACTGTATCTGTGCTGTCATTGAACTAACAAGTGAACTAACTCCTACGCTACACTGAGGCTCAATAAATATTCCCTTTATTAAACTGTCTGATTGTATTTATCTCCGACACTCTTATTTTACACACTTTAAAGGTCACCTATTATGCAAAAGGCACTTTTTGATGTCTTTTATACATACATACATGTCCCCGGTGTGTAAGGAGACTCACTAAGTGTCAGAAAATAAAACCCTTCCTTACCATCTCTAAAAACGGGGGTACAGCGGAGCTGATCCATGACGACATCACTCAAATGTGGGCTGGGTTTACGTTGAACTCCTGGCCACGTCCCAACCTGTTGTCTCCGTATTCAGTCGCTAGCTGAACAGTTGTGTTTGTTGTAAAAGTATTGTATTTCTGCTCAGTGTTGGTGTATAGACTACTGCCTGAATCTGCTTTGTGAAAGGCAGCTTTTCCTACAAATAAAATCATTTCTGATCCTAAATATCTTGGTTTCTTCTTTTCTAAGGTCACGTTGATCTGTTGTTTTACATAATGCACAAGTAAAAACATCTTATTGAAGTTTATATGCATTGTGCTTGATATTGAGGTATTCCAACATGAATGGAAAGTAATCAGGTTACATTACTTTTATATTCTGATAGTCAGATTAGGTTACTGATGACAGTTTTTTTTACAGGTAACCCTCCCAACCCTGTATATACCACACATGTGAGCCAGCTGAATGACAGATTAAGACTTTATTTCACATTAAATCTGCTCTCATTATGATCATTGTATATACAGAAGGTGCATTACCATTACAAGAACAATGTACATATGTAACAATGTGTTAAGATAGAGGAGAGGCGGCAGGGTGGAACTCATACTGTCACATATCTGAACCAGGACCACGATGAAGATGGAGCCTGCATCAGTCTGACATTATAATAAAACATCATGGAACACGAATCCTGCAGAGCTCCAGCTTCAGCTCAGAGTGACCATGGAGGAGCTCAGAGTGACCATGGAGCTCAGAGTGACCATGGAGGAGCTCAGAGTGACCATGGAGCTCTGAGTGACCATGGAGGAGCTCAGAGTGACCATGGAGGAGCTCAGAGTGACCATGGAGGAGCTCAGAGTGACCATGGAGGAGCTCAGAATGACCATGGAGGAGCTCAGAGTGACCATGGAGGAGCTCAGAATGACCATGGAGGAGCTCAGAGTGACCATGGAGGAGCTCAGAATGACCATGGAGCTCTGAGTGACCATGGAGCTCAGAATGACCATGGAGCTCAGAGTGACCATGGAGGAGCTCAGAGTGACCATGGAGCTCAGAATGACCATGGAGGAGCTCAGAGTGACCATGGAGCTCAGAGTGACCATGGAGGAGCTCAGAGTGACCATGGAGGAGCTCTGAGTGACACTCTGAGGAGCTCTGAGTGACCATGGAGCTCAGAGTGACCATGGAGGAGCTCTGAGTGACCATGGAGGAGCTCAGAGTGACCATGGAGGAGCTCTGAGTGACACTCTGAGGAGCTCTGAGTGACCATGGAGGAGCTCAGAGTGACCATGGAGGAGCTCAGAGTGACCATGGAGCTCTGAGTGACCATGGAGGAGCTCTGAGTGACCATGGAGGAGCTCTGAGTGACCATGGAGGAGCTCAGAGTGACCATGGAGGAGCGCAGAGTGACCATGGAGCTCTGAGTGACCATGGAGGAGCTCAGAGTGACCATGGAGGAGCTCAGAGTGACCATGGAGGAGCTCTGAGTGACCATGGAGGAGCTCAGAGTGACCATGGAGGAGCTCAGAGTGACCATGGAGGAGCTCTGAGTGACCATGGAGGAGCTCAGAGTGACCATGGAGGAGCTCAGAGTGACCATGGAGGAGCTCAGAGTGACCATGGAGCTCAGAGTGACCATGGAGGAGCTCTGAGTGACCATGGAGGAGCTCTGAGTGACCATGGAGGAGCTCAGAGTGACCATGGAGGAGCTCAGAGTGACCATGGAGGAGCTCTGAGTGACCATGGAGCTCTGAGTGACCATGGAGGAGCTCAGAGTGACCATGGAGGAGCTCAGAGTGACCATGGAGGAGCTCTGAGTGACCATGGAGCTCTGAGTGACCATGGAGGAGCTCAGAGTGACCATGGAGGAGCTCTGAGTGACCATGGAGGAGCTCTGAGTGACCATGGAGCTCAGAGTGACCATGGAGCTCTGAGTGACCATGGAGGAGCTCAGAGTGACCATGGAGGAGCTCTGAGTGACCATGGAGGAGCTCAGAGTGACCATGGAGGAGCTCAGAGTGACCATGGAGGAGCTGGATCTAAAGGGGACTTATGGCTGCTTTGAAGAGGAACTCATTATTTGTCCATACAAATGATGAACGATGTTATTCACAACTCAGGACGGTTGAGTTTGTCTAAGCTCTAAAAACACGTTTTCATACGCCAACATGTCATAGTTTCTAAGATTGTCCAGTGGATTTATCTCAAAATCAATCAAGCAAATGAAAACCAGAGAAAAAAGTATAAATGTAAAAAATACAATCACTCGGTGAGGTCTCATTGAATCAGTCATTACAAAAAACGGATGATTCGAGCTCTGCAAAAGCAACCACGTGATTTTAGTTTACATTTGGCACAACTGGAAGTCCTCGATGTGTAGTTTGAGTGATCCAGGTTTACATGATGTTAGCCAGATCAAGTCATCTCCCAACACAGGCCAAGGATGTATTGTTCAATCAGAGATGTCATTAGAACAGCAAACTAATAGGACTGGGTGATGAATCACTATATTCTTTATGTTTTCATTTGGCAGCGATGTTGTTCAGACCGGTGCTCATTTTATTAGCAGGATGAAATTTCTGATGAATAATCATCAGTCAAGAGGAAATATAGACTAAGTGATAACCAATGAAACAACACTTTACTGTCACGCAGCCTTTAAACTAAAGACAATCTTTTACTTTTTTACAATATAAGACGATATCAGGATTTGACTAGATATGGATATTTTCAATTGTGTTTTGTACCTCAGCTCCATAATCTCACTAGAACTATGCTCCATGTCAAGGGTCATAGGGATATCTGTAGTTTTTAAAAAGTTTCATAAAACATCAATATACTAACTAAATGCTGATTGGACAGTCTGAAATTCTAACTGTGAAATTAAACTATTAATGCTTTTAATAATGAAGAGGTGCTGAAGGCACTTTAAACCCTTTTAAGGATTGTAATTAAATCTCCTGTTTGACCTTGATGCAATGTGTTGGAATTATTTTAACTTGTTTTATATCTTATATTTTGTCATTACTGTAAAGCTTCTTCTAAGCAATGGGGTTGGAAGAAGTGCAAACCCCAGTGTTGTGTTAAATCATTGAAGTGATGGTGAACAGTGATGGTGCTAAAGCCAACGGAGTAATATGTCGTTACAGTCTTGTGCAATGTGTTCTTTTAACAATCGGCACAATTCCATCGTCCAATCAGAAACAGCACACAGTGACTGAGCTAGATATGCTGTTAGTGACTGCATCATAGAATGAAACCAACATGTGATACATGTGCTGTGGAAAGGAAAACACACGGAGACCCCGCTCAGACAGGAAGTCCCCTGCAGCTGGGGCCAGAGCTTCTGTTTCTAACCTCTGCATCATAATCAGAGCTTTTATACGTTTCAGCTTTTTCACGACAAATTACAAACACTTCCTGCTGAGGAACATTTCCCAAAGAATTACAGAGAACTCTTTAATAGGCAGTATGAAACTTTGTGACAAGCGTTAGCATGGTGTTGCACTGGAGTTCAAGTGATGTTAAAGGGTTACAGTGGCTGCCATGCTTAAAGCTGAGTCAGCACAATATCAGCTGGACAGGAGCATTTCAATAATCCACATCACTTCACACAATATGTCAATAGTGCTTTTCTTTTTTACATATTTCACTTGACTTTGGCAATGAAATATTGTTTACAGAACTGCTCTGTGCAGAACACACATCACTTCTGTGAAGGCTTGTTTTCTTTATCACTGGAAGTTAACATTGGGCGGTGATTACATGTACAATTGTGAAGCAATGTTGTTGTTAAATGTTTCTGGAATAAACACGCCATTTCATTAAGAACATGTCTAAAACATTACCCTACATTCTTACTAAATGATACATTCATTAATTAAGAAAGAAAAATGGTCAATGGAGCTGAAGTGATTCCTGCGGAAGAGGATAGGAGCCTCCTGAGAAAACTCTTTTGGGATGTGACCAAAAGTAAAAAGATGTGGAATTGTTAAAAAATTCTCAGATTTAGACTTTTTTCTGATGTGGCCGAAGTTAAAAACACATTTTAATGATGACTTATCTCAGAATTCTGAGAAAAAAAGAAAAGCTTTTGGCCCAAATCTTTTCTTATGTTAGGATGTGGCCATGATCCTCTTACGTAGATTTCTTAATGAATTTATCAGTAGAGAAAATAAATCAGCAAATATTTCCATATGTTCAGTCCCTGCTCTCTGCAGTGTGTAAGGAAGAAGTGTGTTTTCTTCATCATACAAGCTGCATATTTGAATAATGTTCGTCACCTTGAGTCGTGGAGAGTGAGAGACATTCTTCCCTTTCTTCCCACATTTATATACAAATATTACTGCTCAAATAATGAAGAAGATATTCAGCAAATGAAGAAAACAAAGGACAGTTGCAGCGCTGCACTCTGACAGAGCCAACATGGCGTTCCTATGATGGATCACACACCTCGGAGTGTATTGTCAGCAGAGTTAAGTAAATGGATATGAATGGAAATCAGGAACGCTCTTCAAATGCTACATGCTTTGGAAAATGCTCAGCAGTGAGATACTGAGTGATCTGCAGTAAAGGAACTAACACATGCAGAAAGACTGGCCTTTTCAAATCTAGTGCCATCACAGCATGACTCCTTAACACTGACTTATTCCATGTGATGCATGTCAGGTGCATCTGTTTAGAGAGCAGGTTGTGTAACTATGCTGACTCAGTAATCCCCGTGTCTGTGCTGCCTCCTCCTCCGCAGCTCAGTGATGGACTAAACTAAAAAAAAGAGTGCAGTTTGTATGTGTCATTGTCGTGGCGAGACCCCCACACTAGTGGCTGTGTGACCCCCCTGAGTTTGGGGGCGCCGTGGCCCCCCCACCCCCCGTCTGTCCATTATCTCTCCTGCCGTGGCCCAGGATGCAGTGAGCGCTGCCGCAGCCTTCATCATCGTCCTCTCCCTCGCTCTCGGAGGACGACTCTCCGAACTGTCGAGGCTTCTCGTAGATACAGCAGCCTGCCACACACACACACACACACACACACACACACACACACACACACACACACACACCACACACACACACACACACACACACACACACAACACACACACACACACCACACACACACACACACACACACACACACACACACACACACACACACACACACCCACACACACACACACACACACACACACACACACACACACACACACACACAACACACACACACACACACACACACACCACACACACACACACACACACACACACACACACACACACCACACACACACACACACACCACACACACACACACACACACCACACACACACACACACACCACACACACCACACACACACACACACACACACACACACACCACACACACACACACACACACACACACACATTTATATCATAACACAGCATGTTCAAACCCTTCCCATCTCAAATAGAAACTAAATTGAGCGTGGGGTAAAAATAGCTTCTAGCACTTTGATGAATCCGGCAGCGCAGCAGCAGCAGGAGGTTTAAACACTTTAACACCTGTGTCTGCGTGTGAGGGAAACATGTCTGAGTTCTGATATGAATTGCAATCTGAGGACAAAGTGAGGAGATAATGACATATTTTCATCATTTTAACTCTAATATGTTTGTCAGTTGTCCCTCGCTAGCTCCTTTATGCATATATTGTTATTTTCAAGATGAAAGTAATCAGGACCATCATTTGGCAGGTAAACTGTACTATGCAGGTTCTAAGGAAGTGTTTAAGAGTTTACTGTAACGTTATTGGGATTTTTCCATTCCGGGCCTTTTGGCAAACATACATTTATAATACTTACACATTTTGTTCAGCAGGATAATCCCTACATATTAAGGATTTTTTTAAGAACAAATGCAATCACCAGAAGTAAAAAGCTAACATTAGGCTATAAAGGAACTACATGACCTCACCTCAACACCGCTAAGCTAAAGGCGGCTAATGTTGGGTGTGATGATGTTTAGTGGTCTAACTTATTAGCAGTTGCTGTTTCTAAGACACACAATTATCTACATCTCAGTCCGTGCTGATCAGGAGGACTCACATTTGGAGGACCTTCTTCCTAGGTGCTCGTTGTCGACGGTGTCACTGGACCACTCCACCTTCTTCTCCGTCTTCCTCTTCCTCAGCTTGATTGTCAGGCTGCGTCCCTCCTGTAAACAAATGACAGGTCTGCTTATAGCGGCGTAAACAGTGATGTCATGACGGTGGAAAACCAACTGGTTCCTAACTGCCAACTAGCAACTCCCAACTAACAAAGTGAAATATAATCAGTGTTACTACACAGCAGTGTTGTTACAGACTTAACTAAGCAAGTAGCAGCTGGCAGTGACAATATTCACTTCTAAAAGATGAATATCATGTATATTGCACATGAGCAGTGTCATTGCACAACAGTATAGTTAGTTTGTGTTGTTGTGTGTGTGGTGCCAGGGATCATATTACATTAAAGGTCACATGTCATGGCCATTTCCACTGATCATAATTCCATTGTTGAGGTCTACTAGAATAGATTTATACTGTAATGTTCCAAACTCACATCGTTTCTCATACAGCATCTCTGTAAACTACGTGTATTCACTCTCTCCACTAAACGGCCCGTTGCAGCTCTTGCCCCCCCCCCTCCCTGTGAGCCCAGTGTGCTCCGATTGGTCGGGACCAGTCGGGACGTTGTGAATCGCGCTGAGCTCCGTGGAGGTGTGATTTCCTTGTTTAGCGATACACAGCGAAACACAGCCAAACTCACCCTGAGCACACACAAAGTCACAGCCGAAGTAAAAACAATAAGTGTGGCTTGATATTGAGTAAGAAAAGGGTTGATAAACGCTGTGAGAATGGGTCTGCAGAGAGAACGGGTCTGCAGAGAGAATGGGTCTGCAGAGAGAATGGGTCTGCAGAGAGAATGGGTCTGCAGAGAGAATGGGTCTGCAGAGAGAACGGGTCTGCAGAGAGAATTTCGCCGCGATCCCAACTGTCTGTTATCAGCCTGCAGCCAGGGAGGAGAGATCAGCAGAGCTGCCTGCACTGAGTGTGTGAGGAAGTCGTGGATTGGTCAATGTGGACCAATCAGCGGGGGCTTAACGTAACGGCTCCGCGGACGTAACGTAACGGCTCCACGGATTGGTCCATTTCGTTCCGGGGACGACATGACATCATGATATCCCCGGAAGAATCAAATGGACAGTGACGTATCTCCAACGCGGCGTTTTGGGGAGGTATTTTCTGTGTTAGAGTTTTACTCGCTACATGGTGTACTTTGAGGGTTTTGACTCTGCACACCATTTACATGCATAAAAACCTTCATAACAACAAGGGGACGGGTAATAACCGGAAAAGCATGACATGTCACCTTTAAGATGATCAGCATCTGCTGGTGGACCTCTGACCTCTACAGTTTTAGAACAACTGAACATTCCAAGTCATGTGATTTTAAGGTCCAACTGTCAACGCAAAACTTAGAAAACCATTACTTATGGACCTGGGTTTGAGAAGGGGGTGTCGACCCGTTGGAAGTGGAAAGAGCTAAAAACAACTTTTGGACCAAAGTTGGAGAAACTCTATGCCCTGACACCAAACCCCCAACTGATCCAGGGCGGCCCCTTCACTCTGACCCTTTGTGCATGTGCGTTTTACGGGCCTTCTCTGTATAGGACTGTAAAATGTGTATCAATAGAGTAAAAGGTGAACTGAACATTTCTCCCATGTGTGTCACCTTTTTCATCTAAAATATCATTAGAAGCTGAGGCAATACAATCTCCACTCATTGGCACTAAGGCCCATAGACCAATCTGGAGAAAAAGACCCAGGCCGAAGCACATGCACAGTCATGATTTCTACATACAGCTCTGGAAAAAGACCACTGCAGCATTATCAGTTTCTCTGGTTGTACTATTTATAGGTATGTGTTTGAGCACAATTAATGTTTATTTGATTTTATTCTATGAACTACTGACAACATTTCTCTGTGTTGGAATTCAACAGACACTGGGATGGAATGGAGAGATTGAGATTTAAGAAGAATTTGGAGTGGCCTTTTAATTTTTGCCAGAGCTGTATACAGTATAGTACAGTATATAATGTACTCCTTATTATAGGTTAAGCTACCTAGTAGTGTATAAAGTAATTCAAATAAACCATGACCAAAATAATTTACCAATTGAACACTGCTAAGTCCTGTTTGCACATGTGCCTTTTGACTGTCAAATGTGTAACAACAGAGTACAATTTTAACTTTGAACTGAACACTTGTCCTGTATGTCATCTTCTTCTTATCTTAAACAGATGAGTGTTCGTATGGGCACATACTTTTATACACTTTATACTAATATAGTACACCAGATACATGCCTCAGGTCTGAATGTGATATATTCGTGATATTGCTGCTGTTAGTGTGTTTCTGTCTGTACCGTCAGACCTGAGACCAGTCCGAGGTGTGACTGGGTTCAGAGTCCATCCTGAACAAGCTCCAGAGAGCCGCCACTGTTAATGCAGACATGAGAACAACCTGCACATACCAGGATTCCCGCTCACTGTCCTGTCACACCCTAAACATGCTGTCATTTTACAGGAGATAGCGTAATGACCACATTAGGCCCGGTAGCTTCATCAGGCAGACAAGCAGGCATGACACAGAGAAGGAGAGGGCCTGGTATAGCTTCAAACAGAGCTAGCTGCTAGCCACTGTTAGCTAGCAGAGTTCCCGGCCGGTACCTGCTGGGGCGGCGGCGGTGTGCTCTGAACAGTCTCCGTTATCGTCTCACTCGAAGTCCCGGGAACCTCCGCCATCCCTGGAGCTGCTCTGCGAACGCTACCGTTAGCTAGCTATAAAATACCAGGAACCAAAGTGGACCGTCAGTGAGAGACAGCGTCTGTAACGTGACGTTAACGGCTACAATAGCACACCGTGGTTTTTTAAATCCCAAAGTGAATTAAGCTTGTTGACCAGAAGATTATGAGGCGTTCAACAGTATGCAGAGATGTTGCTAACAACAGTCAAGCTGCAGGAGCTGTAGTCAGACTCTAACCGGAAGTTGAATGTTTTCAGGTCAAAACCATCATCTGCTATACAATTATGGAGTCACAAAAATCAGCCCAAATCACTTTGTTATGTCATAATAGTTTATATTCAATGAACCAGCATTGAAAACATTAATATTGCATTATTTGGTGAACATTATACAAAAATGACATTTTATTTTGTAAGTAAACAGGATGCTCCGTGCATTAGTAGTGTGGTGGGGACGATATTTACAGACGGACAGCGGTCACTTCCGGGTGCACCGTGAAGTTTAACAGTCCGTGAACAAACAGCATCCACATGCTGAGAATAATGGGAAAAGAATATGAAAACAAAGTGATATGAAATGACAATTATTATACGCGATTATACAATAATTTAAATTGTATATCTAGTCAGCAACATAATATAAATGCACTTTATCGGGCTTACAACGACGAAGTGGCTCAGTTAGAAGGTCGTTGATGGCACAGTAAGTCAACCTAAAGCCTGTTTAAATACTAACTGTCATCGCAGATACAATTATTTCAAATTAAAATAATGTATTATCAAGGTTCTCTGAATTAACATGCCATGTGTGTGGTTGTGTGTGTGTTCCTGAGGATGTGGAGGGCAGGTCGTGTCCTGACTGCTCGGCTGGGGGGCCGAGGAGCAGCCAGGCTGTGTTCAGGGACCCTCCCCAAACCTCCATCCTCTACCTCATCTCCACCACTGTCCTCTCGGCCCCAGGCCCAGAAACAGAGGCGGAGACGGGAGCGGGAGGAGGCCATACTGTCAGGTCAACACAGTGTAAGTAGGAAATAAGTATTTCAAAAAAAGAAGAAGATATATATATATATATACATTCTCATGATTACTGAGTTGACAGAGAAATGTTAAAGATGCCCCGCCCCTTTGATTTTGTTCTGACATTTTCAGTAAGGTAGGAAAGCTTTGTGTATTCGTTTATGACCTTTCAAAGCTGGTGCATCACTAAGGAGAAACTCTAGAGATTATGATCTATCATATCATATGGTGATGTTGGGTTTAATACTTGATGCATTAGTGCAGAACTCACATCTCAGAATGACACTGGTCTATCACCAGACACAGGTATACCATTTTATTTGTAATGCAACCTTCTAGGTCACATCAACATGACACCTGTCGTCAAGGTACACATTGTGCTCCATGACATTTAGAAACAGCACATGATCAGCTAGGACAGCTGATTGGTCAGGACCGATGCAGACTCGCTGTGGGAGGGATCGATAACTCCTGTATAGTTGATTTGGATCAGCCCTTAATCAAATCATATACATCTTTATTTATATATCACTTTTCATACACAAAGGTAACTCAAAGCGTTTCATAAACACATAGAAAAATACTATCTGCCCCTTCCCAGGTCATAACCACAGTAACACATCGTTTTGTTATCAAAAAGAACATTTCATAACAATGCAGGACTGAATAAAACAGGAATTAAATACATAATAATAATAAAAGGAAAAAAATCACATAAATAAAATACAATTCTGTTAAAAACAAAAAATTAAAAACAATAACAAATGTGGGTCTTAATGAGGCGGAGTGGAAGCAGGGAGAGGAAGGGTGTAGGGGTTGGTTGGAATGTGGCCGTACTCTAAGCCCAATTTGAGATTATCCTAAAGATATCACTTTTGGAAAATCAACGTAATCGTTTCTCAATGACGGGTCACATTAGCAGGGATGATTACATTTATTTGTTGTGCTTTTATTTAAGTAAATGAGAGATGGAGCAAATATGAATGCTGTGTAGATAGAGCAGTGCAATCCTCTGTCAGCGTTTAAACAATGTTCAGGAACAGCTGTGATGTTTGTGTTCCAGCCTGCTGAAGACGGAGTGCTGGGATGGAGTGAGAAGCAGAGGATCGAGTACACGGCTCACACAGCTCCGGGGACAAAGAAAGGTGAGGCACTTCCTGTCACTGCACACGTTGCCTCCTGTCTCTCTGCAGACTTTATAAAGGTGCGTGTTCTCTGCAGACACCAGCCTGCCGCTCCCCCCCTCCTACAGTCCGGAGTATGTGGAGTCCAGCTGGTACCAGTGGTGGGAGAAGGAGGGCTTCTTCAGTCCAGAGCAGCATGTGAGCATTAAAGAACAAACCCAACACCACACTAAAATACACTAAATCACTCAAATGTATTAGTTTATTAGAACTAATATCTTTAAGTATAGCAATGAAGGAGGTAAGTCAATCAAGCCCTGGCTCATCCCCCAGAGGCTTGAAGGCTGAAGGAACATTTCCAATCCCTTAATATGAACCACTTGTGTTTCTGGGCTGTTCATGGTTATATTCTTACATGTGTGTGCAGATGATAGATATATCTTCCTGTTAACACGAATGATTCTTGGTTGCTTTGATGGTTAAGTGTTGAATGTGTTTCATCTTTCTGTACCCTGATGAGAATGAGAACAAATAAAAAATGAGATCCCCTTTATGCATACCAATAATTCCTATGATTAAAATCAGTATCCCACGGTGGGACTCAGCCATTTCTGTCCGCTGTTAACCTTTCAAAGAAAACGTTATCTTCAAAAGAAAACAACCACAATGTTTTATTGTTTATCAGGGTTTTCCTTTCAAGTGATATGATCTATTCATATTGTATTACTGACTTGATGCTTTATATTCTGCACTCAGCTCATGACCTACTAAACCCATATGGAAACGGAAACAACCCAGCTTTGAAGTCATAATGGCTTGAGCAGTTATACTATGCCATTTATCTGTATCACCATTTCAGTTCTTACCATGTGATTTCATTAATGCTGTTTGTGTTTCTCACTTGTGATATTGTGATGCCCCTCAGGAGAGGTTGCCCCACGCTGTGGATCAGACCTTCTCTCTGTGTATCCCTCCCCCTAACGTGACGGGCAGTCTGCACCTGGGCCACGCTCTGACTGTGGCTGTGGAGGACGCTCTGGTCCGATGGTAACTGCTCACACACCTGCAGCATGTGGAGTGTCATGTTGATGTTCTGACTGAGTGTGTGTCCCAGGCGCAGGATGCAGGGCCACAGGGTGCTGTGGGTCCCGGGCTGTGACCATGCAGGCATCGCCACACAGGTAGGACTACTTCTTCTCTTTGTACATCACATGGCATTTAAGTGATTGGCCAATATTCTCTCAGTGGGAGAGTCACTTTGGGATTTTAGCCTCTGCAGACCATTTACATGCACAAAACCTATATAGGGCAAAATAGGGCCCCTTTTTATAAAAGTACCCCACGCTCCATCACATTCAAAACCACTGGAACAAACTATTAACTAAATAAATAGCCATTGCTTCCACAGTGTCTGAGAAAGTCTAAACTCCTCCTGCTGGTCGCAGCATGCACATTGACCCTATACTGCTGAAGCGTCATTATGAGCTTCAGCAGTCATGACTTGTCTCAAAGCCTTTTAAACATGATGAATATTTACTTTTTGACTAATAGATGGTGAATTAGGTTTCTTTTGAATCTGGATTCACATATCTACAACAAAAAACTGAATTGCAAAGTCAGTGTACAACTAAAACCAATGGAAATGTCAGAAATCAGTCACAATGATAAAGTCAGCTTATTATCAGCTTAAGGATACATCAAGGTTAAAGGTCAGAACTAAACATGGAGGAGCAGCATTCACTTATTATGCTACACATATCTGGAGCAAACTACCAGAAACCTCAGGTCTGCTGCAACTCTCCCATATTTTAAATAAAGGGGGACGTATTTTTATTTATCTTGCTGCCTTTATGAAATAATAAAATGAGTCATATCTTACTCTGCACTAACCTTTATATTTGTACTATATGGTCTTATTCTATTTCAGCTTGTTCTGATTCGTTTTGTACTGATTTTGTATTGTCTTTTTAAAAAGTATTTAAATGTTATCTTATAGTGCTAATGCTAGTGTGTGTGTGTGTGTGTGTGTGTGTGTGTGTGTGTGTGTGTGTGTGTGTGTGTGTGTGTGTGTGTGTGTGTGTGTGTGTGTGTGTGTGTGTGTGTGTGTGTGTGTGTGTGTGTGTGTGTGTGTGTGTGTGTGTGTGTGTGTGTGTGTGTGTGTGTGTGTGTGTGTGTGTGTGTGTGTGTGTGTGTGTGTGTGTGTGTGTGTGTGTGTGTGTGTGTGTGTGTGTGTGTGTGTGTGTGTGTGTGTGTGTGTGTCAGACAGTGGTGGAGAGGAGGCTGCTGAGGGAGGCAGGCAGGCGCAGGCAGGACTTCACCAGGCAGGAGTTTCTGAGGGAGGTGTGGAAATGGAAGAACGAGTGAGTCCCCCCTCTCACCATCACCCCCACCCTGTGTCTCAACATGGTGTCTTCTCTGAGCTGTGTGTGTGTGTGTGTGTGTGTGTGTGTGTAGGAGGGGAGAGGAGATCTACCAGCAGCTGAGGAGTCTGGGAGCCTCTCTGGACTGGAGCAGAGCCTGCTTCACCATGGACCCGGTAAGAGGACACTCACTTATTATACCTCCTGAAGGAGTGCTGTAGGTGTTACACTTTAATGTGATTGTTCCTTATGTTCCTGATATCATTTTAAACATAGCGTCCCTCCCAAGTGGGTCATATGTTAAGAGATAAAGGATTAAGTAGGTAAAATGGATTAGATATACTGTATGTTGTCCATCCCAAATAAGGATATGTTTGTTACAACAGCATGTAAACTAGGAATTGAACATGAGTTAAAAATATAATAAAAAAACTAACAGTACATATAATCATACCTGCAATAAAATAATAAATATCTATATAGTATCCATAGACTACACAATATTAATCATTCAACATCATTTACAAAACACTTTTACAGACCAACTCAAACTAAATACTGTTATTTTGTATTATATAAAGTGATATATTACTATACGTACATTGTACTAACTGCAGCAGACTGTGAAGGTACACAAAACATCTGCATGGGAAACGTGTGATTCATTGGTCATTTGTGCAAGCTGAAGGAAAGCCCAGGTCAGCAGGTAAAGGTGCATCAGGAGACTGCTGAGACGTTCAAAGACAGTAGTGTATTGCAGTGCTTTAACAGTTAGTATCCGGTGCATTCATATACATTGACAAACATTTGTACGGTTTATAATTATAATAAATATCTCCTTGCATGTTTCAGTGTATTGACATATTCTATTGGATGTATGGAGCGAAGAATAAATAATACATGTGAAGAGTGTGACTGTGAGCAGTCTGTCCTGAACCTCTCTGCCCCCTCAGGCGTTCAGCAGGGCGGTGAGCGAGGCCTTCGTCAGGCTGGCTGACTCGGGGAGGATCTACCGCTCCGAGGCTCTGGTCAACTGGAGCTGTGCTCTGGAGTCGGCCATCTCAGACATCGAGGTGATCCTCTTCACCTGGATGTACAGTTATTATAACAGGATAGGAGGAAATAATGGAGACACACATGGGAAGAAAACTTTACATTTGTACTCGGGCTAAATCAATCAATCAATCAACAACTTTATTAATCCCGCAAGTTGCAATTGGTTGTGAGCAGCTTATGTCACGTACACCGGCAGGAACATACAGGAAGAAAGCTCACAGATACACCCGGGAGCCTGGATGTGGATCATTCCAATTTACACGATAAATAGTTCATAGCATCACAATAAATAGGTCAATAAACAATCAAGTCAAGCATTTAAAAGTTTGAGTGCAGAGGGGATGAATGATTTTGCAAAGCGATTAGTCCTAAGAGCAGGTAGAGCATATCTACGCCCTGATGGCATCAGATGAAATTCATCTGAAGAACACGAGTTCAGAATGCTCTCTGCTTTCCGCAGAATCTGCTGGTTACAGAAGGAGTCTCACTGTTTCACTCCGATGACCTTAGAGCAGGTTTTACAAATGTTGTTCAGGCTGTTCCTGTCTTTCAGTGTAAGGCTTTGGAACCAGCAGATAAAATGAAAGCAATAAGGCTCTCAATGAATGCAGAGGATCCGGTTCCAATCCGGTCCTGCACCATTTGCCGCTTGTCATCCCCACTCCCCATTTATACACTGTCTCCTGAATAACGGCACCGGTGGCCCAAAGAAGTCGTAAAAAGTTATATCATACACACAAAAAAATTGATTAAAAGGAGAATATTTTATAGACAGTTAAAATATACATCTTTAAAGTATATTAATCGTCATTGATTGATGTGCACAGTAATAGATTTTCAATGACAGCCAAGTTTCATAATAAAACAAATATAATATTTAATATTTGTTATGTATTTTTGGAGCCAGAGAGTGCCTTTATTAGAGATACAGTGGCGACAGGGGGAGATAGAGGGGATGACATTGCCGGAAATGATCCCAGGTCTCAGGAGTGGAACCCACTCACTGTAGTATCATTATACTTTGACGCACTTCTCAAGCATGTCTCTTATTTCCTCCACCTATTGCAAGGTTTTAGAAAGCTCATTTGGTTGGGTATTCCCCTAATGTAATAACCAAAATGTGTGTTTGCTGTCAGGTTGACTCCAAAGATCTGAGTGGCCCCACCCTGCTGTCTGTCCCTGGTTATGACAACAAGGTGGAGTTTGGAACCATGCTCACCTTTGCGTACGCCATAGAAGGCCATGGTGAGTCTTAGTGACAGCTGATTCATGTTGTGCTGTCTCTTTATGTCCTATTCTAATATCCCTCGTCCCTGTATTTCAGATGGAGAAGTGGCCGTGTCCACCACCCGTCCTGAGACCATGCTGGGGGATGTGGCTGTAGCTGTTCACCCTGAAGACCCTCGCTACCAGGCTAGTGCCAGTTTAATGGAGGTTTTAATAAGGCTGAGTCCGACTCTGGGAATAGAGTGGTGCAGTAATGACGTTTTGTTGTAGGTCGACCCTGTCACATTTTGTTCAGCAGGATCATTTTCACATATCAACACCACTTTATGATTTTTAAAGTGTTTTATTTTGAGGCTATAAACAAACCACATCGCAGTCTCATGACGTGACATCACTACGCTAAGCTAAAGGCTGCTACAATTCGGTGTGATGACGCTTGGTAGTTTATTCAGCGACTTGTTAGGACCCGCCACTTTTATAACACATAGAAGCTTCAGGCATTTACAAGTACATTGTTTACTTATGTATTTTATGTCGTAGAAAAAAACCGTGGAAATCTCTTCAGCTTGTGTTAACCAGAGACCTTATTTTAGGCTTGACTAAAAACAAGTTAAAAAAACGTTGATTGTGAGACGCAGGAACCAGAATGGTAAAATGATAAGTCTTTTAGGGTTCATTACTGCTTCACTCTATATCACTGAAGGTCGAAAGATGTACACTTAGTATGAGGATAGAGTGGTGCAGTAGTGATGATGTATTCAGAATCAGAATACCTTCATTCATCGCACAGAGGGGAAATGTTCATTTGTTACAGGCCAGAGGGCCTCAGCTGCTGTGCGCAGTTCTCCGCTCAGTTCTCCGCGCACCCCCCGCGAGAGTAGTGATGGGAATTATGGCTCTTTGAAGGGAGCCGGATCTTATGGCTCCGTTCCTTTCAAAGAGCCGTTCAAAAGAGCCGTTTTTTCTAAAAGGGGGCGGGGTTACTAGGTTTATCTGCAAAATAATCACCAGGATAATGATTGACTGTATTGCCATTAATTAATCTGCATTGTAAACATTGTAAGGGAAACTTCTGCAGCAATGGAACTTCTGCAGCAATGGAGCGTCAGGACTCAGAGAGACACGAGTTGGAGCTTTGATGTCAAACACAGATGTTTATTTACAAGTATCGGCCGGAGAAATTCACATCACAAGTCACAGCAGCCAGAGATTCTGGCTGCCCTGGTGGGTTGCCATGTCAAATCTGACCAGTCTCTCTCTCGAATAGACCTTTTAACTAGTTTACAGAGAGTTAATCCACATATTGAGGGATGGTGCGTAAACACTGGGAACACTGGAGATATCCTCGATATCTGGAAATACTACATCACTTGCCTGATTTTTAGGCTCTGTGACCGAGAGTGATTTGATAAAACTGAGAAATATCAACATATGACTGCATTAGCACATTCCTTACGGGAGATAACAGTCAGGGTTGGTCGTAAACGTCAACACACAGAAAGGTTAAATATCTTAGGAGTAAGGAAGAATAATTTTTTGACAAACATGACACAAGGTGGCGCCATATCCATGTCATTCATGTCAGTAATACTTGGTGTGAAAGCGGCTATTAATGTACTACTTTAAATTGACCCTCTGTATGTCAATAAAGTTGCCTTGCCTTGAATGAAATTCACGCAACTCTTAATATTAGATACTGTGTATTTAAGTGGCGATGGAGATTATTTGTTGACCCTGCTTTAAAGGATATTTTGCCTTTACAAATGGTGCGCTTTTTCACTGCCTGGGTTTTGGTTGAAGTGCATCCAAATGCTGATGCGTTTTCGCGTTTGGCTCATTTTCCATCTGAAAAACACGTCGTCTACCTGTCCTGTACCACTTGTTATGACTTCTCTCTCTCTCTCTCTCTCTCTCTCTCTCTCTCTCTCTCTCGCGTATTCCGTTAAATTTAAGACCCACCCCATCTCAATCCTCGTGCTGAAACCTGTGGCTGAAACCTACCAGAGTAGGGGCGGGTCTTCACAGCATATGTTTGGGGAACAAAATCAAGCTTTTTAAAAGGCGAGTGGAGTTTGGCAGGCAGTGAGTGCGGACCAACGATTGAACGATAAAAAGAACGGCTCTCACCAAATACGACTCGGTTCCCCTCGTTCGTACCAAAGAGCCGTTCAAAAGAATCGGCTCGTTCGCGACCGACATATCACTACGCGAGAGTGAGAGGTGACAAGGGGAGCACGTCTGTAACCCGACACCGTTGCAATGAATCGACATCTGACCAATCACGGCTTTGATACGGCCACTAGTGCAGGTGAAGAGATGTCGGTGAAAAGACAGTTTCAGTCCGGCGCAGAAAACAAACCATGAAGAAACTAGAGCATCACTCGAAGGTGGGTTATTGTATGAGTCAAATGTACAACTTGTGAATGTTGTATAAGTCAAATTGCCTATTGCCATCTTAAAACATCAGCTGCAATTCACGACATGAAGAAGGCAGTCTCCACATAGCATATAGGCTATGGAGATGCAGTTATTTCCAGCATTCTTTATTTACCATTCATTCAAGTATGTGATGCCTTTTATCTGCTAATGTACAGGAGGAACAGTGATACACTGTCTGTCTACTTGGCTTACATAACAGTTAAAGTTTACAGCCTAAAAAACATGGAGCATTTTTTCCCCTTTTATTCATTTTTATGTCAATTTGCACATTTCATGGTGATGCTCAGCCTCTCCCCTTAACTCCTAACAGTCCTCATCATGGTGATGCTCAGCCTCTCCCCTTAACTCCTAACAGTCATCATCATGGTGACGCTCAGCCTCTCCCCTTAACTCCTAACAGTCATCATCATGTCAACCACAACACAGAGAAATACTGATAGAAATGTGTGTGTAGTTGTTGATACATTGCTCACAGAGGGAACTAGAATACAGATTTAAGAAATATCAGTTTTTGAGCATGTCATAAGCATGTTTTGTCTTGACTATATTACAACTATATTATAATAAAACAATATAGTATTTATATTATTGAATTGATGATTATTATTATTAGTAGAAGTAGTTTATTTGCATTAATTATATTGTAATCTTTGTGAGGCTAGTATTTGGCAGGAAATGCAGACGTACCTGTAAACGCATACTAAGCGACATACATGCACATTTACCATTTACCTCACTGTATAAAAAAGTAACTGTTGATAATAATAATAAACAGGAATTATATTTGCAAAGTAGCCTACTTTGTTTCCAAAACATTTTTTTTCACTCCTGTCGGTTGGGGGGGGGGGCCTCATCTCACAATGTCGCTTGGGGCCCCAAGTTGGCCCAAGTTGGCCTGCTTATGAGGCATTATTAGGAAATCAATACTGTATATATGTTTTACAAATGTATTGCATCAGACTTTCCCCACCCAAATGAGCCAGACTGTAAAAATGTACAGTCTAAAATCTCAGATTTATAATGAATCATGTGTTTGGTTTGTGTCTTGCCGCAGTGATATAGTGAAGAGTTTCTTAAAGTGTTCACCACTAGGAGGCAGTGTCCTATCGTGCAATTTGGCAATGTTTGAAATCTAATGACTCCATTGTACTGATGAAGTATTATGTTGGATTCATATCTGGGAGTTTAGTCAAAGTCAGGTGATCAAAGTTGAAAACAACTCAAGAAAAATTGAACTCATGGAAACATTTTGAAATGAATGATTATGTAAACTGTTGTCAGCATACACAAGTAGTCCTGCTACACCTTTGACATAATATGCTTTTTGTAGCTGTGTGTTCTCAGTCTTCATGTTAAAAGAAGGGACATGTTTTCTGAGTGCTCATGTATCTTTCACCTTACCGGGATGCCTCTAACTTCCTACACCAAGAGAAATGATAAGAAATACACACAAAAACCCCAAATTGTAATAAAGCAGAATAACCTTTCGAAAATAATACATATAGCTTGAGCTCCGTTGAAAGCACAATGTAACACCTGTTATTTAAAAATCAAAACAAAAACAATAAATCTTTCCATGTTGTCCACTTCCAGGCCATTCATGGGAAGCAGTGCAGACACCCGTTCACCAGCAGACTGCTGCCCATCATCACTGACCCTCTGGTGGACATGGAGCTGGGAACTGGTGAGAAACACTGCAGTCAGACACAGAATAACACGCTGAGCTGGTACATCACACTGAAGCTGTTCCTGTCATCTAGTCCACCTCAGGCCCCTTCCATAAAGAGTTAACCACAATAGCCAGGCTTATTTCAGCCGGTCTGAATCATTCTCAGTGGATTTGGTTCTATAAAGCCAAGTGTACATAGTTCAAGCTTAGTTACTATAGTAACTTAAACTAGGAAAAAAACCTGTTCCAATTCCATGGTAGAGTTTTTCCTGTAACACTGAACCGATGGGAAACGATGATTTGACCTTATTATCAGCAACCAGTCAGTCACAAATAAAAGTACATTTGACTCAATCTGTGTATCTCTACTAAATATGTTTTCATTTGCAGCTTTAGGTTTAAATCCAGTTCAAAGTAACAGGAAACATTGTTGCTAAAGCATCAAAATAAATGACAATTATAGTCATATGAATATAATATCTATTTTTTATATTTATTTATTTGCTTAAGATATTTAAATACAGGATGTTGGATCTTACTGTTGTATTTTTCCCAATATTATATATGTATCAACATATTTTATTGCAATTTAACTCATTCAGATCTCCACTAACGGCACAAACTTATTTGATTGGTTTACTGTGACTGCTGCTCTTATCTGTGTGTGTGTGTGTGTGTGTGTGTGTGTGTGTGTGTGTGTGTGTGTGTGTGTGTGTGTGTGTGTGTGTGTGTGTGTGTGTATGTGTGTGTGTGTGTGTGTGTGTGTGTGTGTGTGTGTGTGTGTGTGTGTGTGTGTGTGTGTGTGTGTGTGTGTGTGTGTGTGTGTGTGTGTGTGTGTGTGTGTGTGTGTGTGTGTGTGTGTGTGTGTGGTAGGTGCAGTGAAGGTGACTCCCGCTCATGACCACACTGACTTCCTGTTGTCACAGAGACACTCACTGCCACGCCTCACTGTGATTGGTGGAGACGGGAACATGACGACGGCCTGCGGACAGTGGCTGCAGGTGCTGAACACACTGTTACTATTATGTTATTATCTGTGGTATAACAGTATAACATGTTGAGGAGAAATTCTTCATGTGTGCCAGCTGTCTCAGGGTCCTGTAAACACTGCTGGACTTTCTGTTGTGTCACCTGGTCTCCTCTCAGGGAGTGAAGCGCTTCGATGCCAGGCAGATGGTGGTGGACGCTCTGGTGGAGAGGAAGCTGTTCAGAGGAAAGAAGAACCACGCCATGACTTTACCCGTCTGCAGGTAGAGACACACACACACACACACACACACACACACACACACACAGATACAGACACACACACACACACACACACACAGACACACACACACACACACACACACACATACAGACACACACACACACACACACACACACACACACACACACACAGACACACACACACACACACACAGGCACACACACACACACACACACACACAGACACACACACACACACACACACACACACACACACACACACACACACATACAGACACACACACACACACACACACACACACACACACACACACACACACACACACACACACACACACACACACACACACACACACACACACACACACACACTCTTAATACTAAGGCTTACTTTAACAGCTGTTTTTCATCTTATAGCACAAAGAGGACAGTACAGGGTAATTGTAAGGGACTGAGGACAACAGGAGTTGTTTAAAGATAACTGGGTTTTTCTTTACCCAAAAAACATTATAAAACAACAATCTTACTAGCTATAAAAGATGTCAACAGTAAATAACTCTAACAAATATAACAGCAACTAAACAAAACGACCTACCACAATGACACATGAGAACCTGTATAGTGGCATTAAGTCAATTAAGCTCAAATCCTTGATATGGCAGCACGTGGGTTGGCCCAATTTGGCTTCAGTGACTATTTCCAGTATTAAGTAGTCCTCATCCAAAGCCTTCTGCTCCATCAAGAAGGAACCTCCCCCAACTACCACGGTAACTCAAAGACAAGGACAAAATAAATGACCTGTGTTAACTAGGGATGTCCCGATCACCTTTTTTTTGCTCCCGATCCGATTCCGATCATTTGATTTTGACAATCTGCCGATACCGATTTTTCCCGATCCGATCTTTATGCAATGCATTATTGTGCTGGTCATCCAACGCGATGAACTCAGCTCTCTTGGCTGTTATTGTTGTGGCCTTTTCACTGTTCTGGGGCAGTTTCTCTTTCCTTTTAAAAGTCTCTGAAAGTGTGGGTTGTGTCAGTGCCGTTACCCGAGTAGCCGCTGTGTACTCGTCGTGTTGTTGATGGTGTTGGTTTCTCAGGTGGCGTATCAGATTGGTCGTGTTGAACGTAGCTCTGTTCTTTCCACCACGCGGAACCTCCTTCTTGCAAACATTGCATCTGGCTGTTACACTGCCTTCGCTTTCAATTTTATAATACTTCCAAACTCCTGACATTTTCTCTGTCCCGACTCCCGAGTCACCAGCTGAACGTAGCCTCTAGTTAGCTTACTGCTACTATTAGACACTGCGCCCACTCTGTTGCTTTGAGAGGAATAACCAGGTCTGAAAACAAGCCCAACAGCAGCAACACATACATGATGTTGTGTCATTTCAACCGAAACTAAGTCATCAGGATGACTTTAAGATGTGAACATGGTCATTTTTGTTTTGTAACATTAAATAAAATAATACAAATATTTTATATTTAAAAAAAAATCCCGATCCCCGATTTTTTTCTCCCGATTCCGATCTTTTGGAAATCACGTGCTCGGCTCCGATCCCCGATCACGTGATCGGATCGGGACATCTCTATTGTTAACAGATCCCACACTGCACACACACACTGCACACACTCTGCACACACACTGCACACACACACACTGCACACACACTGCACACACACACTGCACACACACACTGCACACACACTGCACACACACACTGCATACACACTGCACACACACACTGCACACACACTGCACACACACACTGCACACACACACTGCACACACACTGCACACACACACTGCACACACACTGCACACACACTGCACACACACACTGCACACACACACTGCACACACACTGCACACCACACTGCACACACACTGCACACACACTGCACACACACACTGCACACACACTGCACACACACTGCACACACACTGCACACACACACTGCACACACACTGCACACACACTGCACACACACTGCACACACACACTGCACACACACTGCACACACACTGCACACACACTGCACACACACACTGCACACACACACTGCACACACACACTGCACACACACTGCACACACACACTGCACACACACTGCATACACTCTGCACACACACTGCACACAACAACGTAGTTTTAACTCCCTTGTCTCCTTCCTCCCTCCTTGTGTCAGCCGCTCAGGAGACATCATTGAACCTCTTCTGAAGAAGCAGTGGTTTATCAGCTGTGATGAAATGGCAAAAAAGGCTATCCAGGTGAGCTGGAGGAGAGGCTTAGTGAGGTCAAACTTTATGTATGCCATTTTCTTTTTTTATTCGCATCACAGGTTTTCATGTCATGCCCCGTCATGTAAATCGGTGATTTCCAACCGTGAGAGAACGTCACGTGGAAAATTGCAACATTTCACTTTTTTATTTCGTTGCTGCAAATCATTTGTCATTGTTGAGCGTCTGTGCCTGCAATGGAGTGACTGGTTAAGTAATGAAATACTCTTCAATGCCAGTGGGTGGCAGTAGGTAGAGCAATATGACTTAGTTGACAACATTGTAACCCAGATGGAGCCTAGTATGGCTGGTGGTCAAAAGAAAGAAAGAACGGAAATGTTTCATTCAGTATCTTTTTGGTTCAGGAAAGGTTGAAAAACACTTTAGTTAATATAGTAATGAATAGTCATGTGACCTCGTCCTTGGTGTAAACATTGGTGAAAGTGTCCCATGTCCCTGTCAGGCTGTGGAGGACGGGCAGCTGCAGATCGTCCCTCACTACTACAGCAAGACCTGGAGGAACTGGCTGTCCAACATCAGGTACTGACCTTTGACCTTTGACTCCAAATCCATGGGTTAGCCCAGAGTAGGACAATGGCGGTGTGTTTTGCTGGGATGTGTGTGTGAGGTGACACCACTGTGCTGATGAATGAGCTCTTTGCTTGTCAACAATGTAGCTCTGTTTGCCCCGCAGTGATTGGTGCATCTCCAGGCAGCTCTGGTGGGGTCATCAGATCCCCGCCTACCAAGTGCAGCTCCCTGACTCCACACACACACAGGAGGTGGGTGTTTGTGGATATGTGTATGATTTAAGCTTTGGTGGACAGTAACTACATTCATTTACTGAAGTACAACCTTGAGTTTCTTTACTTGAGTATTTCCATTTCCTGCTACTTTATTTATTAGGACTAGTTATATATTAAGTACATTCACAATCTGACTCCACCTTTACCAGCTGCATCAAACATAATAATACATCAGTAGCAATTCAAGCAAAAATACAATGCTACTATTTGGAATCAGCCATTCTGCATAATGAGCACTTTTGTACTTGAAGTATATTTGAATGCATATACTTTTTTTACTTATACTTAAGTGCAGGATCTGTGTCTACCTCCACCTCAGGATTTCAGAATAATACTACTATGAAGTGATTGGTTTGACTGACAGGGTTCTTAGAGAAAAACTAATGTAGCCCCTCTGTGTGTGTGTGTGTGTGTGTGTGTGTGTGTGTGTGTGTGTGTGTGTGTGTGTGTGTGTGTGTGTGTGTGTGTGTGTGTGTGTGTGTGTGTGTGTGTGTGTGTGTGTGTGTGTGTGTGTGTGTGTGTGTGGTGTGTGTGTGTGTGTGTGTGTGTGTGTGTGTGTGTGTGTGTGTGTGTGTGTGTGTGTGTGTGTGTGTGTGTGTGTGTGTGTGTGTGTGTGTGTGTGTGTGTGTGTGTGTGTGTGTGTGTGTGTGTGTGTGTGTGTGTGTGTGTGTGTGTGTGTGTGTGTGTGTGTGTGTGTGTGTGTGTGTGTGTGTGTGTGTGTGTGTGTGGTGTGTGTGTGTGGCCAGGAGCGGTGGGTTTGGGGACGGAGCGAGCACGAGGCCCGACAAAGAGCCGCTGTCAGATATGGAGTGAAGCCAGAGGACATCACTCTGACTCAGGGTGACTCCCCCCCCCCCTGTCTTACCCCTAACTCTCTGCTGTTTCTGTGCCTAATGTACAATAACCATCACACACCCCAGTGTTTCACATTTGCTATATAACATTACATTACATACCGTATCATTTAGCTGACGCTTTTATACCAAACATATACTTATATACAGTACTCGAGTTGAGGGGGGATGGCATCCCCCCTGAAATAAAAACGGTCAAAATCATCCCCCTTCTAAAACTGCCATTCCCCCTTTCCATCCCTTATGTAATTTTATCAATGAACGTGGCACTGGTATTACTGCTATTTCAACATTAATTTTGCGCATTTTGAGTAAAATACTGTGGGCGAGGGAGCACGCACACATGCAATGACATTTTTACCAAGTCACTGACGCTATACTATGCGAGTGCCCTAGAGGGCGCCAGAGCGCCGTGATGCGCCTGTTTGATCGATGCCAGAAGCGCAGGTAACGGTCATCACAATGGCCAAGCGACCAGGAGGACAACGCGATCTGAGGGACTTCATATTTAAAAATACTAAAAATAACATTTCAGGTAAGTCAAGAGTCAGTAATCTTAGTCATTACCAGGGCTGGACTGGGACAGCAAATCGGCCCTGGCATTTAGACCCAGACCGGCCCAAATCCAAAAAACAAACGAATAGTAGCGGTTCCTGACAAGAAGAATAACTCAGTATAATTTAAAAAAACACTATTATTATTATCCTTTTTACGTACCAGGGGCAAACTAAACTAATACATACAACAAGTATGTGTAACTATCAATCATTAGAAATTAGACCTTCAAACCCTCTCACAAAGCGAACAGTGACCGAGCAGGGGGGTCTGATGGTGGTGGAGGCGGGGAGGGAGCGGATCGACAGCTTGAGCAGCTGTCAACTCAACATTGTAAATAACCAACCAAAAACGATCACCGGTTCATCTTGTTTTGGGCGTGAGAATAGTTTGGGCAGCGTGAGAGCGTGAGATTGAGAGTGAAAGCGTGTGTCACACGCCAGATGCGTGAGAGTTGGCAACCCTGGTTTACCTGCTGCAGGTGGGGCCGACCAGTTATACAAGAGGGAGATAATAGCTGTACTTATTTTTTAATGAGCCACATGCCATGATGCACCAACTTCAGACTTCCTTATAGAGCCACTCCTCCAACACACACTACTCACTACTTTAGTCACCAAAGGTGGAATCTATGGACATAAGCAGCAATAACAACTTAGTTTGGAGTTATACGTTTTTCTCTCGTGTTAGCTCGCTGGTCAGACTCAAAACTGTTGATGAAATGATACCACCAGCACCAGAAGAGCTGAAACCCCTCCTTCAAGCAGTGAACACTCTGGTCATCTCCACAGCTGAGTGTGAACGTGGGTTTAGTCAGATGAACATTTTAACCACAACTAGAAGCTCCCTGGAGGTAAAAAGCATGTCAGCCTTGCTTTTCATCAAGTGTTGGCCCTCCACTGAACAAGTTCAGACCAGAGGTATATGTCAAGACTTGGCTTCAAAGCCATTGCTTAGCTAACAATCCGAAAGCAAGAGCCAGAAAAATTGAGACCAAAAAGCATGATTATGAAAATCTTTGGAAACTTCTATGAGATGGGGGAGAGTGGAGTAGGCAGCCATTGACAACATTGGTCCTATTTTGTATTATCTGTATAATCTTTTAATATATTTTCATATTTCGTAAACAATTTCAATTTGCACTTAATGCCCTGTTCCTAAAAAATGTCATGAAGAATTTACATAATGATTTAATTAATTACGATGTAACCCTTTAGATACCAGTTTTGATCGTATACCAGTAACTGCTTTTTTGAAAAAATACACTATAATTCAATATTCTAAAAACTATTTTGACTTTATTATTAGTATAATCAGTTGATCATCTGAATAATAAATGAGGGACTGTTAATCTACAAGATTTGTACCATAGACTTTCATTATAACCACATTTTTGTATCCCCTCCCCCCCTTTAAATTAAAGTGAAAAAAAGATTTAGCACTAATTGTCCTCTGCATTTGACCCTAAATGTTATTCTACTCTAATTCTGAGGTGCCTTGGTCAAGAGCAATGAAAGGAGTATCTGAACATCCATAACATGCATGTTGTTTTAGGAGTATAATAATGATCTTTATGCTGGTTGGTCTCCCACCCTCGGCGGGTTATCAGCACATGTCCCCATATGATAAAATCCACCATCCCCCCTGATTTTTTTTTACAACTTGAGTACTGCTTATAAAGCGTAGACATGTTAACGGGAGCTATTTTGGGTTAAGTATCTTGCCCAGGGACACTCTGACAGGTTGACTGCAGGGTCAGGGTTAGGTGACCCTCTGATTGATAAATGCCCATTCCCCCCCTGAGCCACAGCCTGCTCTAAGCTGCTCCTGCTAATATATTAGCTTTTGCTTTTGCTATCTAATTCTACGACCACTAACACTGCTGTGCTGCAACTATTTCTATCATACATTGTTTCATTGATTGTATTGGACTTACTACAGATATTTATATATATATATGTTTTTTATCTAACTAATTCAATATTCATTTTAGTTAATCAAAGTACAAGGAAACAAAGTAATTTGTAGCGGAAAGGTTATAATAAAATATTTGTTGTATTCAAATACATCGTTTTCAGTCAAAGACCTCAAAACTTATTGCGAAATAACTACATACTGCATGCTTAATATAAATATATGTATAAGTCTCAAGGTTAGCATAGAAGTCATGTACAAGTGCTGAAATGATAGTACAGTACCAGACTTTTCAAATAAAAATAAAAGACACGTAATACATTTGACTTTAACCATAAACATTTTAAAGATGAACCAAAATCATGAAGATCTGTTTATGATATCTTTGGTTGGTGGAACTATTGGAAGTGAATATAAGAATTGGTGGTTAACCTACATTTGTGTAATCTGTTAGTATGATATTCCCTACAGTTTGATTTGATATACAGATTTGCTGCTTTGTTACGACCTTTATGATAACATACAGATGTATTCCTTCATCACTAACATCTGCATACCCTGTCAGACCCAGATGTGCTGGACACGTGGTTCTCCTCGGGGCTGTTCCCCTTCGCCATGCTGGGCTGGCCTGAGCAGGTACTGCACCTCCTCTCAGCAGATCACAGTCCTCAGTATACAGCCCCCCCCTGCTTGTTATAACACCTTCCCCTCCCACAGACCCCTGACCTGCAGCAGTTCTACCCCAACTCCCTCCTGGAGACGGGCAGTGACCTCGTCTTCTTCTGGGTGGCCAGGATGGTGATGCTGGGCACAGAGCTGACCGGACAGCTGCCCTTTAAACAGGTAGGAGGAGGAGACACCCAGAAAATACAGAGGTTATACAACAAATATTATTATTATTATTATCATCACTGTTGGTCCCACACAGGAGCTTATAGCATTTATTGGTTTTTGCCATAAAAGGGTCTATTTGAACCTAAACCATGCTCTTTCTATTGAAACATCCAAATCGTTGTTTTGCCTGAATTCCTCTGAATCTCTTTCCTGTTCCCATCATGCCTTTCAGGTTCTCTTCCACTCTATGGTGAGAGATAAGCATGGCAGGAAGATGAGTAAATCTCTGGGAAATGTCATCGACCCTTTAGATGTGATACATGGGGTCTCTCTGGAGGTAGGTGGGCCTGCTACTCTGTGTTACTGTTCATGACCTGCTGCTATCTACCTCTGAAGGGCCAGGAGGTGGACATGTTCTGTTTAGTTATCTCAATCAATATACAGAACAACTTTAACAGTCTACGGTCATATATTCTGTGTTTTTGAAAACCCCACATATCCACCACACCCTTACATCCACCTGCCTTCTTCCTGTTTTTGAGAGAACAAAAAGCCATTGTAAATTCTTCCACCATCAGCCTGAACAGAAACTGAAAGTAGTTGTAAGAAACACACCTCCCTCCTCCTGTTGCTCGCAACAAAACTATTGTGGATGTTAAGTGATAATGGTGACCAGGTCCTACATAGGCATCTGTACCATGGATGTATAAAGGGAACTGGATACAGCGTTGAAGGCGGGGCACCGTTCATTCCTATGAGAGTTGCTCAGTGGCACGTAAAGCCCTAAATGGACTGACTAGATTAACAAAGTACCCGGATCATCCAAGTCCATAGGGAATGTGCACTTGAGTTTTCTTTAAGCCCCGCCTCCGATTCCTCTTGGCTCAGATGAATGGAGATTTTAACGTGTACTAGATAAATGTAAAAAGGCCTATCCTCGAAGGGTTGTCTTCCTCCTTCCTTTCACAGGAAGTATCACCCAGCACATCCCCAAGAAATTCGTTTTTAGGACTAATAGGACAATGTCATTACAATAAAAGCATTTGATTGTTAAAAAACAAGAGTCACTCTATTGACGGATATGTGTTTGCAGTATAATAACAGATTAGGTCTCAAACTAAGGCTGCCTCATGTTTTTCTAGTGCTGCATCAGCTGCATTCATTGTGCGACCCTGTGGTGCAGAATGACAATAACTGATCCTTGAAATTCCGAGTTTAGCAGAGTGTAATCTCTAGGATGTGAGAAGATGAATCCTTTCCTGTTGTGAGGTGACACACAATGTAAGCAGGAACCCCCCCGATGAGTCAGCCGTCTGTTCAGACTCCCTCTGAAGACATTTGCTTGTTTGTTTCCTCGCAGAGACTTCAAGAGAAAGTGCAGGAGGGAAACGTGGAGCCCCGGGAGCGTCTGGTTTCCATGGAAGCGCAGGTCAGCGATCTGTTCTTTTGTGGCTGACTGAGCACACTCATTACTTCCTCTCTTATCTGTCTCTCCCATCTGCTTCCCCACAGAGGAAAGACTTCCCCAAAGGGATCCCTCAGTGTGGGACCGATGCTCTGAGATTCGCCCTCTGCTCTCACAAGATGCAGGGTGAGTGACTCTGCACACGTTATCTGACAGGGGGAGGATGAGTGTGTGGAGCTGTGTGACTGGGCATGGAAGGAAGATATGATGGGTTGTGATGGTTAACACTTACTGGTAGCAGAGTGATGACAGCGTGTTTCACATAACTGAACGGAAATATAAAACACTTTTATTTTAGTGTTAGCCATTTGTTAGACTGAAAGGACATCGATCCCCTATTGCTTCTAATTTCACCATCATAGCTGTTCATCGATCTCCAATGACATCATGTAATGGATTATCTGACTGACCATCATATTTGGGCTCCTTGTAAATAAAAAACTGTACGGTTTCCTTACATTTTGATTGAATTGGGAAAGACCTGTATTTACCACCGGTCAAATGGCAGCTAATGTTTTCACCCAAAAAGGGGGCGGGGCCATGACTAGAGGGACGGTACCCATGGCTCGTGTGCTACTGCAATGCACATACAGAAGGTTTTTAAAAACAAATGATTGGCCAAGTGGAAATGGGTGTTTTTTTTCAGTCTGCTGCAGAAGATGTGTAGACTTTCTCCTGACCTGATAGTAAAGGGAAGCTCATTGCACCATTTTTCAGCCAGGATAGCAAACAGGCATGTTTTTATTGGGGGCTACCTCGGTCCCACCTACAGTAAGGGAGAAGCGAGCTGATTGGGCGATGCAGAGAGAAGTGCACGTGCTGGAGTTTAACCATGTCCTGGATGTAGGAAGAGCCAGATTCACAGTGTTTCTGCCATGTGACATGTCTCTGGTTAGTCCTCTCTCCTGTGCCTGGTGGATTTACCCCCCCACGGGACAATGAGTGTCATTTGATGTAAGGCAAGGGCCGGGTATGAAACTTTAGCACTTTCTTAATACCAACTATTGCTGTATCTGTTCCTTGTTTTGTTCTCGAGAATGGGATATCTGAGAAACGCATCGATGGAATTTATGAACTGATTAGATTCTCTGTCATCTCACATACATCCCATTTTTGTTAATGAATATTTCAGTAACGCCCTGGGAAATGTTTTACACATCTGGCACACACATCGCCAGGGATTCAAGGACTTTTGATTACGTTTTGGTGGTCAGATGTCACTGTGACAACACCTCTGTCCCATTGGCCTGAATGCTACGTCCCAGGGACGCCTTGAGGGGATTTCTTCAACTTTAGCACGAGTCACCCTGGACCCAAGGAGGATGTAATTAGATATTAGTGTTCATATGTCAATGTTATCTTAAGCCCAATATTTGGCTTTGAAGAAGTTATTATTTCCTCGATATGTATTTTCCTTCACCCTGTGTATGACTTTTGTCTGCCTCTTCCTCAGGAGAGGACATCAGTCTGTCCATATCTGAGGTCCTGAGCTGCAGACACTTCTGTAACAAGATGTGGCAGACGCTGAAGTTCACACTGGGAGTGCTGGGGGACAGCTCCACACCCGTGACAACACTGGAGCAGGTACAGCGGCTGGAGTATATTTGTATTCTTATTTTGATGTAAAACGTTGGGCTGTTATTGGTAAAATGCTTGTCTTTTAATGAATAAGATGTTCAAACACTAATTGTAGTTACATTGTAGTATGATACATCAAGTGTATCAAAGCAATACATTACTAATGACTCTCAGGTTAAATATGACAGTTGATCAGAATTATGATGTTTTTTGTTCTGTTAACTATATCATACAAATATGTTTTTCTTCTTTTCTTTTGATTTGTAATTTTAACTGCATCTCACTTTGTTGTATAAACACTGAATATATGAGTATATTGTATAACTGTATCCCTCTCCCTCTTCAGACGGCAGCAGTGGGCAGCATGGAGCGCTGGGTCTGCTCCCGGCTGTACAGCACCGTGCTGCAGTGTGAGCAGGGCCTGGAGGCCTCTGAGCTGCACACCGTCACCTCAGCCCTGCACTCCTTCTGGGTGCACAGCCTGTGTGACGTCTACATGGTGAGGAGCAACTCACACAGTGGTGCAGGGATGACGGATTTTTGTTCTGCACACATTAGATTTTGGAAGGGTACATGCAGGGCCAACTTGGGGCCCCAAGCGACATTGTGAGATGAGGCCCCCCCCCCAACCGACAGGAGTGAACACATTTTTTTTTGGAAACAAAGTAGGCTACTTTGCAAATATAATTCCTGTTTATTATTATTATCAACACTTGTCGTATGTCGTTCAGTATGCGTTTACAGGTGAATACGTCTGCATTTCCTGCCAAATACTAGCCTCAAAAAGATTACAATATAATTAATGCAAATAAACAACTTCTACTACTACTAACTCCGGGGACTTCCGGCCGGGGACTTTGGGCGGCAGTATACGCCGTGAAGTGGTTTGCGGCCTGCCAGTAAACCCAAAGCAGAAGAAGAACAAGTGACGTCATCGGCTTCATTTGCCTAATCCTCCCCCAGGGACTTATTCCGGTGTGAACGCAGTCTGTACTTAGTTCATGAGAACTAAAGAGTTCACATGAACTAAGTTCACATGAACCTTTGTGGGAGAAGTACTGCGGTGTGAATGCGCCTAATGTGCCCTTGAGCAAGGCACTGCACCTCAGCTGCTTCAGAAGGCCGGAACACTGACAGCCCCTGCTCTGACACTCTCCATTAAGTTGTGTATGTGTGTATTTCAGGCCTATTTGTGTAATTGTAAAAAACACCATAGTGAAGAACTGTATTTTGCCATGGGGATTTATAAAATATATTTTAGTCATAATTTAAAAGGAACTACAGCACGGTCACATGAATTCATATCACCACCGCTAGGCTAAAGGAGGCTAACGTTACGTGTGATGGCGATTCATTGGCAAATGTTTTCACTTGTTGGCTGTTTTTAAGACACATAGATGCTTCGGACATTCACCAGTGGGGTATTTATCATCATATTTTATTGTCACAGAACAATAAGTGAAAATCTCTCAAGCTTGTGTACAGCACAGACGAAAACACAGCACATGGGGGAGACAGGAGTGATTACATGCTGACTAATCTTAGGACTCATTCCTGATCAACTGTATTACGGTTACACTAATCATCAACATGAACAAGACCGAGTAGAATTACGCATTCGGTTTTTTTCCTCTGTATCGTTAGCATTATACATGTCTCAAAGGGAGTGTGTGTGTGTGTTGCAGGAGTGTGTGAAGCCTGTGCTGGCGCTGCCCCCGGACACAGAGCAGAGTGTGGGGGCTCAGCAGGGGGTCCGCAGCGTCCTCTTCCACTGTGTGTCCATGTCTCTCGCCCTGCTCTCCCCCTTCATGCCCTTCATCACTGAGGAGCTGTGGCAGAGGCTCCAGCCCTTCAGCCCTGCTGCTGCCGCTGTCCCCCCCACCCTGTGTCTGCAGCCGTACCCCCGCTCCTCCCAGCTGGTAGGAACGCAAGCATCCAACTCCAGATTTACATCATGACAATAAAATAATAATAATAAGCTTGATTTGAATAGCAAACGCAGCATATGTACATGATATAACATGTTTAAAGGAATACAATGAGGTACAATAGGCATGATATTAAAATAGTATAATCCAAAAGTTCACAACAGATAACAAACACAGTAAATAAAAAAACACATTTGTGTGTATTTTCACTTTTATGTTTGTAACTTCAGAACTAAATATTGGGTAGTAATATTGGTAGCTATAATTCAAGTCTGACCTTAATCCCTCACCTATTTGATGTGGATGGAGAGCCTGTAACAGCACAGACAGCTGACTCAGCGTAATGTAGCGTATCTTGATAAAGCTACTTTAACGTTAGCATAAATGTTGCTACATCACATCTTAGATGAGTTGTTATCTTAGATGATGAGTTGGTAACATTTGATAAAAAGTCGAACAGGAAACAGGAAGCACAAAGAGGCTCTTCAGATGTAAAGAGGCGTACATCATCACATTTGGACTACAATCACCACTTCATCATTCTATCCTTAGTAAACATCTGTGTGAAATTGTCATGATTAGCAATGATTTCTTGAGTTATGGCCAAAGATGTATTTTTTGCAGTCTATGTGACCTTTACCTTTGACCCCTAAACTAATCATACTTGACAACATGTGTGCCAAATTAGAGGACATTCCTATATTGGGGTTCCTGGGCTTTAAAAAGAAAATAATAACTCTGTGCTTTGTGTTCTGAGAGATCTCCACTCTCCGTGTGTTTTAGCTGACGTGTTCTCCTCTCTAACCTCTCATCCTGACAGGCACACTGGCACTTCCCTGACGAGGAGAGAGACTTCCTGTTGGTGCAGGAAGTGATCCGAGCGGCCCGATCGCTGCGAGCCCAGTGTGGGCTGACCAAAGAGAAACCTGCCAGTAAGTTCTTTCAACAAAAACACTCAAAGAACATTGGATATAAATGTGTTTCCATGTGGTGTCTGACGTGTCCCTGTGTGTCAGTGTGGGCGGTGTGCTCCCCCAGCCAGGCTCGGGTCCTGCTTCACTTCGGACCAGCTGTCTGGACTTTAAGCCGCATCTCCAGCCTCCATATCCACTGTCCTGATGGAGCAGAGTGCCCCCCCGCTCTCCTCTCCACCCCCCCACCTACAGGCAGCCTGGTGGCTGTGGTGGACCACACCTGTCAGCTACACCTCCACATCCAGGTGTGTTAGCTCCTGCTGCTCTGTCACAGTGAAGCTCACCGCTGCCAGCTAACTGAAGAGTGGAGGACAAAAAGATGAATAGCCTATTTTTGATCATTTGTATTCAGTAAAAGTCAAATCCTATTCCGCCCTCATCGATCTATCAATAATAAAACAAGCATGATTTCAGATGAATGATTGATTTACGATTGATATATGTCAATCATCAATGAATCGATCATCCAAGATCAATGATTGATAAGTGATTTATTTGCTGACCACACCACCATCAGCTTCACATAGAGACATCATCGTTAATCTACTTATTTCTACTTCTAAACTGTACACAAAGATTCAGCGCTGAACATGTGATCAAACTGAAAAGCTGTAGTGTAGATGTAATGTCCAGGTGATAATCAAATGCACCACTTCTGATCTTAATGAAATGATGAAGAAAAAAGAAGTAGGAGATGATGTCAATGATTTCTCTTTATTAATAATGACCACCACGCTGCACATCCCCCTGCTCATTACCCGGCTACATAATGGAGGAATCAACCAATATTGATTTACAAATAATCGTATTACTTCCTCCAAGAAAACACATTGTGTTCCACTGCGCACAGCTTCGGATGTCTTCTTCTGGGGATTTCTCTGACGTCCAGTGCTCGTATTTGAATCTCTTCCACTCTTTTTCTTTTGGCGAGAGTTTAGCCATCACACACCCTAAGCTTCCTCCTGTTGTTAGGTATGGCTGCACTTAGTCCATTGATAAGAGCATCCTTCTTACCAACGCTCTGTTCTCCTTAGCAGCGGTCTGTTAGCGATAATCAACAACCTCTGCAATGTCCAAATTGACCAATAAGAATCAAGTATTCATCGAAGCCGTGTAATAATCAAACACATTGGCCAATATTTTCATTGATTCTGCCTTTACTTGGCATTGTGTGACCTGAACTTCAAATGCAAACCAGAACGAGGTGAAAGTACTGTAAGCACTGGCTGAAGGTTGGCGTGGTGATGTGTAACGTACAGTTTGTCCTCAGAGTGGAGTGGACGTGGACAAACAGGTGCAGCAGCTGTCCCTGCGCAGAGACAGACTTCTCCCAAAGCTGGAGCAGCTCCTCCTCAGACAGCAGGAGCAGGCCTCCCAGAGCAAGGTCCCTGCTCACATCAGGGAGCAGACGCACAGCAAGGTGAGGCCTGCACGGCTATGTCTGGTTCATCATGCATCATAGGTCTGAACAGGTGACAGGTTTCAGAGTATTGCTTTTAATGCCACCTCCACTGCACGAAACAGAGTGGTGCAGTACTGATGTGTTTTCCTATGCCGACCCAGAAGTTAGCATCACAAGGGCTCCCTCGAGAAAAAGCTTTGGGATTTCTTTCATTGGATTTTGGAATATTGCTGACAATAAGCTCTATAGCAAAACATGTATATCTCCTGTTCCTAGTGCAATGCATCCAATGACCTCTGCACTCTCCCTAATGTACTTCAATGCATGGGGCGGTGTTGTGACTTTCTTAATGTAAGGACATTATTTTTCTCCTCCCCGTTCCTCCCTGTTCCTCCCTGTTCCTCCCTGCTCCTCCCCGTTCCTCCCTGTTCCTCCCTGTTCCTCCCTGCTCCTCCCCGTTCCTCCCTGCTCCTCTCCGTTCCTCCCTGCTCCTCCCCGTTCCTCCCTGCTCCTCCCTGTTCCTCCCTGCTCCTCCCCGTTCCTCCCTGCTCCTCCCCGTTCCTCCCCGTTCCTCCCTGCTCCTCCCGTTCCTCCCTGCTCCTCCCCGTTCCTCCCTGCTCCTCCCCGTTCCTCCCTGCTCCTCCCCGTTCCTCCCTGCTCCTCCCCGTTCCTCCCTGCTCCTCCCTGCTCCTCCCTGTTCCTCCCTGCTCCTCTCCGTTCCTCCCTGCTCCTCCCCGTTCCTCCCTGCTCCTCCCTGTTCCTCCCTGCTCCTCCCCGTTCCTCCCTGCTCCTCCCCGTTCCTCCCGTTCCTCCCCGTTCCTCCCCGTTCCTCCCTGCTCCTCCTCGTTCCTCCCTGCTCCTCCCCGTTCCTCCCCGTTCCTCCCCGCTCCTCCCCGTTCCTCCCCGCTCCTCCCTGCTCCTCCCCGCTCCTCCCTGCTCCTCCCCGTTCCTCCCTGCTCCTCCCCGTTCCTCCCTGCTCCTCCCCGTTCCTCCCTGCTCCTCCCCGTTCCTCCCTGCTCCTCCCCGCTCCTCCCTGTTCCTCCCCGTTCCTCCCCGTTCCTCCCCGCTCCTCCCCGCTCCTCCCCGCTCCTCCCCGCTCCTCCCTGCTCCTCCCTGTTCCTCCCTGCTCCTCCTTATTCCTCCCTGCTCCTCCCCGCTCCTCCCTGTTCCTCCCTGCTCCTCCTTATTCCTCCCTGCTCCTCCCTGTTCCTCCCTGTTCCTCCCTGCTCCTCCCCGTTCCTCCCCGTTCCTCCCTGCTCCTCCCCGTTCCTCCCTGCTCCTCCCCGTTCCTCCCTGCTCCTCCCCGTTCCTCCCTGCTCCTCCCGTTCCTCCCTGCTCCTCCCCGTTCCTCCCTGCTCCTCCCTGCTCCTCCCTGTTCCTCCCTGTTCCTCCCTGCTCCTCCCCGTTCCTCCCTGCTCCTCCCCGTTCCTCCCTGCTCCTCCCTGTTCCTCCCCGTTCCTCCCTGCTCCTCCCTGCTCCTCCCTGCTCCTCCCTGTTCCTCCCTGCTCCTCCCTGCTCCTCCCCGCTCCTCCCCGTTCCTCCCCGCTCCTCCCTGCTCCTCCCGCTCCTCCCGCTCCTCCCCGCTCCTCCCCGCTCCTCCCCGCTCCTCCCCGCTCCTCCCTGCTCCTCCCCGTTCCTCCCTGCTCTTCCCTGTTCCTCCCTGTTCCTCCCTGCTCCTCCCCGCTCCTCCCTGCTCCTCCCCGCTCCTCCCTGCTCCTCCCTGCTCCTCCCTGCTCTTCCCTGTTCCTCCCTGCTCCTCCCCGTTCCTCCCCGCTCCTCCCTGCTCCTCCCCGCTCCTCCCTGCTCCTCCCTGCTCCTCCCCGTTCCTCCCTGCTCTTCCCTGTTCCTCCCTGTTCCTCCCTGCTCCTCCCCGTTCCTCCCTGTTCCTCCCCGTTCCTCCCCGCTCCTCCCTGCTCCTCCCTGTTCCTCCCTGCTCCTCCCTGTTCCTCCCTGCTCCTCCCTCAGACGTCGGCCCTGCAGCAGGAGGTGAACACCATCGAGGAGCAGCTGAAGCTCCTGCAGGAGAGGCAGACACAGAATAACAGCATCTACTGATGGAGATGATGAATTATTTCTAACGTCTGCTGGAGATATGTACACTGCTGGATGAGAGAGGCACTAAACAATATCACATCATGATGATAACATAATGCAGGACTGTACTCTGTTGCTAAGGACCTACAGGTGGAGTTGTGCTGGATGTTGCTGGGGAGAGGTTTCTCCTGTATAGCACGTTTTTGTGTCATGGCCTTGCATTGTGATCACAAACTTAATTTTCTGTCAACACTGATCATTGTTTTTAAAATGATGTCATCTTTTCTCCATCTTGACTAAATGTGTGTCATTGTTGTGAATGTCAGAATTGTGTCACCTGAGTAATCAGGGTCCAACACATCAGGAGGAATTATGCATAAATACAAACCAGGTGGGGGTTGCTTATCCTGACTGGACCTGGATGTAGGAGCAGCGGCAGCAAATATGGCATCACATCAATGCTGATGGACTACGATGATAGTAAATTGTATCAGTCGTATTCAAATCAATAGAGAAGGAGAGATGGAAAAGAGACACAATGTATTAACCCAAATATGTCTGGGCGTTAAATCCACGTTTGTAAGGGGACATCTTATGGTCATTTTCAGGTTTATATTAGTATTTATTCTACGGTGACATGTCTCCATGCTTTAATGTTGAAAAAGCTCTTTCTTTTTCTCATTCTGCCTGTGCTGCAGCACCTCCTGTCACCTTCTGTCACCTTCTGTCTGAAACCAGAGCCCAGTCTGCTCTGATTGGTTAGCTGGCTCTGTTGTGATTGGTCAACCAGCTGAGAGATGTCCCGGCCCTAAGCCTATCATGCACAATGTATTTGAGCCATGATTTGAGCGCTAGCCAATACTCATTATGTTACTGTAGTAAACAAAGGAGTCCAATGAAGAGTCCTTTTTACGATTATTGTTGCCAGGTCTCCTTCATTGAGAATGCTTGTATAACTTCTACCCTTTACTGGACAATTATGTAATATACATTGTTGTATTCAGGACAAGCTAATTTATCAGAATGTTTAGGCTAGGGATGTCACATGAAGATACAAATAGATATAAGACCATAAAGACAAAAGAAAACCATTGAGAATTCGAAAAAGATCGTAGATTGATTACAAATCGTGTGAATATGGTACACATTGTACAATGCCTGTTATAGCTTAGTCACTTGTTGTACGAGTGAGAAAAACTGTACCAACTTTGTTGAGATCAGCAAGTTAAAACAACATGAGACAATAGCGTGATATCGAATTAGTTACTAGCTAACACTATTTCAATTGTCACTGCCTCCCTTAGCTCACCTTCTTTAGTCTCACAAAGAAAACACAACAGTTCTTTTGTTTATTGGACCTGTGTGGGATCCTGCTTCTACCACCTTTAACTCTAGCTGCATGTGTAACTTATTGAACAAGAGCTCTTGTGATATTGTGCTTTGGTTTGTTTTAAGCTTTCTTCTATCCTACCACCTTAGGTATTCACCTAAAATGGTTATGGTTGGCATCAGTATCAGTGTTCAAACACTCAATTTGCCAAACTTTATGCTTCGGAAAGGTCATCTGCAAATGAGTCTCACAAGAGTTGTATTCTTGTGAGACTCAAAAATCTAGGACTACCATCTGGACAAAAGTTACGCTTTCAATTAAACTGACAAAATTGTTGAATTATTTGAAGTACATGACACCATAAAGATTACTTCCTGGGCACCTGACCATAGATTTTGCTACATTTTTTACATAAATACACTCCGACTTAGGAAAAGACATCACAAAGATTGGATCCGGTGCAGCAGATCTTGAAATGATCCCCTATTTGTGCCCATTTTGATCTCTTCAACAAAGACTCCACCACAGCCTCCTCAGCGGATGTGAGAAGAATCCTTCTGAGTGAATATGAGAGCTGCTGGGCCAGATAACATTCCTTGTAGTGTATCAAGAACATGTGCTGACCAGCCAGCTGATGTCATCAGTTTATCACTGCTACACATATACACCATCTGATGAGGTGATTTCAGAAACTGGTTAATCACAACAAAAACATCTAGATATAACGGTTCCACAGAGGAGACCGCTTCCACTGCCATCCTCAGCCCATCTGACAAAATGTCTCATACATACTAATATAGTGATTATTAATACGATTATTACTGTTGGGGAATAATTTCTCCTGCATGTCATCTTTCGCCCTCTGACACAGATGCCCAGCCTTGAGCAGCCGTTATCTCCCTTAAGGAGGGGCTGTCCTAGCATTTTGTTGTTGTTACCAGTTTATGACCGGGCAACTCTCGGTTAGAGATAGTTGTTGTTGTGGGACACCTGGAACACATCCTTCTCAGGGTGTAGATGACCCCGAGCCATAAGCGACAACAAATGTGATTCAGTGTCCCTCAGCTGTTTAGTCTATCTATTGCACAATATTGATTATTCTCTCAGAACTAGCTAAATACATGGGTATGGGGTAGTTCTTCAGAATTGATTGTGGCATCTCAACCGTGTGGTCAAACCGTGGCCCGTGACCGAAGCTCCAAATAAACCATCAGTGTTTGCCATCAAAGCTCCAGCTCTCCTTGTGTCTCTCTTAGTCCTGACTCCTATTGCTTCAGAAGTTTACCCCACAAATTGGCGTTGTCGGCAGGATACCAACACATCTTCAGAACTGGTAAGTGTAATTTCAAATCCACATTTGGACATTGCCTTGCCAGAATCTGTGATTGACGGTATCCTAAAATTACCTGTGAAACTGAGCGGTTGTGTTTCGTTTTTGGTTGATGAACATTTGGGGATTATAAACCCAGGGGATCAGTGTCTGGAAACTTTGGTCCTGGCTGATAAGCAGCCCGAGATATTTCCCCCCATCGCCTCTGTGAGCACGGCTCCAGCAGCAGCCGCGGGTGTGTGTGTAAATATCCCCCTGTGGGTGGCTGCAGCTGAGAGGGAGAAAGTCACAGCTTTTTGTCTATATCTTTAACTCACACCACCGCCGTCTCTATTAAAAACGAGATGGTCTAAAAGCACTCGTTGTTTGTGACCGTCTTCTACATTGCTGGCAAGGCCGGGGCAGCGCGAGGTGCGTGCATCACCTGATGCGCCACAGTTCCCTACTTTGCTGGAGGAACATTCCCTACATTGCTTGGAAGCGTTCCCTACGTTGCTGGAGGAGCTGGTGTCGGTCCGGGGTGCATACATACAATTATAGGCTAATTGATCATGGGTGGGCAGTGGCAAGCAAGTGTAGAACAAAACTGTGTTTCATCGTTGTGATGAACTCGATGGCGGGTGTATATAGGCTGGTCGAATAGGACTACAGTTAACTGGGCTGTTTTTGGAGAGAAAGGCTAGCGGAAAAAAGTCTATGTTCTCCTGGTCGGGGGTTCATAGCGCCACTAGAATAGAGTAGTGGTGTCGCAAGAGGATAAGCTAGTTATCGCTTTTGGACGGTCTTCAGGCACGATCTAGGACTTGTATACAAGGGTGGACGCGCGAGTCAAGGCGCCCCATCTAGAATTCCCCACCCCCTCGGAAACCTCTTAATTCGGACTAAATTGAGCTGGATGAGCTCTGCTGTCACGCTGGTGTTTATTGCGAGTTCATGTTTGTTTGTATGGGGGGTCTATATTGGTTTGTCTACCCGCTGTCTTGTGTATGTTTTGTAACAACTAATAATGAATCAGTCCATAGCCAGGGTCAAATGAAATAAACTTTAGTTATCTCACCAAAAGTAAATGACTTGAGAAAAATAATATAAAGATGTAAAGCAAAATGCTGGTAGTATAAATGTGCTGCAAAATGAAAATAAATAGCAAAAGAGTGTTTTTATGTCCTGCCTCTGAGTGTGCAGGGGAACATGTAAACAAGAAGCACACTGTTCAACAGGGACATGCACAGGTACGGGCTAATGTTGCCCGGGCAATGGCCCTTTTGCCATTTTTGGCTGACCTGCCCCTCTGGAGAGAGTGAGAGGTTTATGTTTTTTCTGTTGTGGCCGAATAGACATGATAAGCCCACAATTAGTATTGTAGCGTCTCGCTGCGATAAAACACACATTGTCAGCGCTGTCATCTGCCCCCAGTCACGTGACTTTGTTTACAATCTGACAGCTGAAAGCAAAGGACAGCCCTCCGGCCTCATATGGCTATGGTGATCATACCAAATGCCCACCTGGCTTTGGTGGCAAATCCCCGGGTCAATCTGTCCCCGGAAATGTCCCCGTTTTTAAATATGCTTAAATTGATTTTGAGTTTTCTCATGGCAGTTAGAGTAGGGGACAAACCAGGGGACTTTACTTCCTCTTGACACCAAAACAATCTAAATAGGCTATACTTGTTATTGTGCTTCTGTCTTTCTGTGTCTTTTCATCTGCTCCGTAAACTCCCTCAACGTCAACGGGGCTGCTCGCTCTCTTTTCTTGATCGCCCTCTCACGGAGAACACTTCACTGTCCCGCTTCATTGTAGGATTTCTGCCATGTCTCTACTTTAGTTTGACCATCTCTGTTATTAAGTAATGGAATACTAAATAAATAAGTAATTAGATACCTTACCATTACTGCGCTCATAAAGAATGATAAGAATAAGAATAATGCATATTGAACTGGTTTAATTAATTAGTGAGTTTATTTAAGAAAATTACTTAGAAGCCCTATTTTATCAGTATGTCTGCACAGAAGTTACAATGGTCAAACTAGCCTATACATTAAAACAGAATTGTCCCTCTTTAATAGTTAGTAACATTAGATATTTTAATGAGATATGGACCGCAAAACAAAAGATTTCCCTGGATTTCATTTAGAAAAAAATTCAAAAGGTCTTATGTTTTTTTCGGGGGGAGGGCAGGGCCCTTTTTCTAGTTTAGAGCAATAGCCCCTCCAAATGTCTGTGCACGTCCCTGCTGTTCAGGGTGTGCGCTGTAGGTGTAAGAAGAAAATAAGATTATATTGCTTTAAGAATACATTCTTAAATGGTATTGCTGGTATGTTAAGATATCTTTGTGACCTTGTATAAACCCTATGCCCCGTCCTGCGCCCCGAGACCCTCAGAGGCATCACTGCTGGTCGCAAAGACCTGCCTGAGGAGATCAGGGTTGCAACAAAAAAAAATCTGTCTGCTCAATAGGTCAATGTTGTATTATTTGTTTCATGTATTCTTAATCTATGTATTGTATGGTAATAATGAATAAAAACGTAATGTATTGAACACATTCCGTAACAAAGCAGATAAGACAGAACTAGACTCAGACATTATACTAATTATTATTGAAATATTTTGCGCTGTTGCTGCAAAATGGAAACTTTGTTGATCAACTATTCCAACTGGCCACTGGAATCAGATGATTAATATAAGTTGAAGTTCAATTACAGTTTTAAATATAGTTTAACATTCTTTATTAAACTGTTTCAAATGATTTCTAGTATCAACCAATTGGTCCATCCATAGACATTACTACAATTCGAATAGTTGTTAAACTACTGACAGGTTTTCTGAAACCGAGCTTATGAACAACAGAGTAAAGGTCGCTGGTTAAGCCAGGAACAATATATTTGTTGAAGTTTTTATTGTGTGCATAATAAATGTGTCAAATTAATTGAGCAATTTTTTTTAAGAAGTATAATGTTGCAATCTCTTTAAGATCAGTAATTGCAGTTCGAAGATAGATGTTGTTTTCCAAGGGCCTCTCCTTCACAGGCCCACACAATAAATCATGAGACTTCCAAATCCTAACAGACAGAGATCAGTATCACTTTGTGTTGCAAGCCAAATCCATGAAGGGGTTCTACTTGGCCCAATTTAAATACCATAAAGAGAGTATTAACCCAGCTCAAGCTAAATGTTAAATGTACTGCTGTCCCAAAGGTTTTAACCTTATGCAGACAAGCTGTCCCCCCCCCCCACACACACACACACTTTGGATAAGTATTC